TTTAAATTGAAATATATGTAAGGCAATTTTGAGTATTAAAAACATTAAACAGTTAATTCATGAACAAATTAACTATTTAAAATATAGAAAAATGTAAGATAAAGATGTGATTACATTTTAAATTATATAAATTTGTTAAATTAATTAAATATATAATTTTATAATTTTTTTGGAAAAAAATTTAAAAACATATTAAATTTTTCATTCTATTGCATTTTCTAGTGTTAAATTTTTTTCAAAATTTTTTTAAATTTAATCAAAACATAAACGACACAAGTTGGAAATTATTAATAAAATGAAGTTATTTCTTGCTACAAGGTTTTGTTTTTTTGAATTTACTTAAGACTTGCATAATATAGATCATAGAGAATCAAAGATTATAATGTTTCATTAAATACACAAATTCATTTGATTTTTTAAAGAAATCATAAAATCTTATGTTAAACTTATAAATTCTTTTTTTCAGAAGTTTTTTGAATTCCATAAGTAGATATAATTTCAATCCGTGAGTTATTTCATTGTGTTTTTTTATTTGAATTAAAGATGGATAAAAAAAGATGCGGATTTTCATATTTCAGATTAATATTATGTCAAGTCTACATGCATGAATACATTTATATAATACGCCATAACACAAAGCCAAGAAATTGTGCATAATTGTATTTATATAAAATTTATACAAATCATGTTGTAAACTGATGTAAAAATGAATATAAAAACACATCAAATGTGAACACAAATAAACTATAATGATGTCAACATGTGTAAATTTATGTTATCATCTAATTCAATACTACGATGCATCCTTCATAAATCTTCAATTAATATACCAAAAGATACATATGTAAATACATTTGCGCTACAAGATGTCATTGGTAATCAGATGTATCAAACAAACCTTCTTGATTTATTTTTTGTCAAAAACATCTTCAAATCCATTATTACTAACATTTATACGTTTGGAAAGAAATCTAATAAACTTGATATATGTTTGACTAATTTCAATTCATAAATCAACATCATGATACATAAAAATATCTCTCTAATATCTTTGTAAAACTGCATGATATTTATTCATAAAATTAACAATATTTATTAATAATATGGCTTAAGTTTACCAAAAAATCATTTAAAATTAAGCCATCTTATCTCTAGAGCATAAATATCCCAAAAAATCAGCACACATGCAAAAAATGCGATCAATAATCATCTCAAATGAGATATGTGAACTTTTTGAAAATTAAGTAAAATACGATCACAGAATTTTTGAAACGAAGATGAAGAATGATTATTGTTATTAGTCGAAATAAAATTTCTAAAGATAGAGCATAATCTATGTTTAAAATATATTAGTTATAATAATTTATGCAAATGTTCTCTTTAACAATTTAGAATCGTACTATCTTACTCTAGTTAGTTGCATATAAGTTCAAAAATGTTTGAAATTTACAAATCTGATAATAATGAAGATTTTTATGAAATGACAAAGATTTGATTTTAAAAATTTCAATTGACGAGTTGATTTTACAACATTGCACAACATCAATCCAGATTATATTGCACAATCAATTTGGATGATCGTGGAGTCAAGAGAAGCAAAGAACAAATCACAATGACGATTGAAGTTTGCGCTTCAGGTGAAAAATTCACCATGCATATTATCACAAACAATGCTCGTCCACCTGCTTTGAACAATATTCCGGATATAAGTAAGGTATTTGAAATTATCTATGATCATAAAACTAAAGTCTGGCAAGATACATCATCTTATATGTGTTTGCTTCACAAGTACAACAAATTTGCCAAGAAACGTTACCGTATCTTCTACATACTTCAATACAATTGTTCATATCAAGTTAGTGCGTCTAAAATCTTAGATCCATCCGAATCAACAAATTTTTTTTTCCGATTTCCAAATCTATGCATCATTTTTTTCCGTCAAATGATACCAGCAAATGTAAAACTCTCAATCAAGGTATCATCGGTACAGATACAACAATGACTCCTTTAGTTTCAGAAGCATCACGTCGTCGTCAAGTTATGAACCAAGCTATGGATTCGAATTGTCTTACTTGAATTGTGAGCTTGGATTTGGTTGAACAACGGCAATTTCAAACTGATTTGGTGATTTTTACACCATTGGTTAGCTCATTGCTGGGACGGAAGAGACAATAGCTAGGGGCGACATTCGACATATTCGTCATCCTTGGAGTTCTTGGGACGTGACGAGAGCGCCTGCTTGAGTTGCAGTCCAAGCAGTTGGAGAAATTTCTCACATGAAGGTTGGTCCAAAGGAGATTATAGAAAGCCATTCCGATATTTTGGAGTATGTTGCATAACAACCAGTGAGAGAGTCGTCTCCCTCTAATGTGTTTATAGAGAAGAATTGGAAGCCATTGATTGATCTCTAGATCAGAGTAGAAGAGAGACGACGGTTAACACAATTTCTATGTGCATATAAGAATTGTTTTGCCTTCAACACAAAGAAGTTAGGTGCTTTGATTGGACAAGGTATACAAATAGAGTTGGTTAGTGATACGCCAATCTTTTGTTGTCCCTATCAAGATAGTGATACGAAAAGGAACTTGATTTGGAGTAGGACATTGGACCTACTAGAGTTTGGGTTAGTCGCATGATGAGTATGTGTCAGCCACTATCATGCTGGTGAAGAAGTATGTATTTGGCAACTACACAGATATGCAAATGTGTGAACACTACCGTTTTATGAATCGACAAACGAAATCCGATAAGTTATTTGAGTGAAAATTGTCGCATCAATCCCACTAGTTGAATACACGAATGTCACATACTGTCAAATCCAACCCACTCACTAGAGAATCTAGGTCGAAGCTTATGGGCACCATAGCGAACCCACTAAATACTATTTCCAACACTACAGGCTTGACTCAAAGAATTGAACGTTTTTCAAATCTATTTGTACTTAAATTCTTCGACTATTAATCATAAGCTGACACTAAAAATAGCAAATACAAAGACACATGATAAGTATGCAATTTAATGAACTTGAAGGCAATGCTCAGTGGGCTAAAAGATTAATTGTTTGATGCATGGTGGTCTATTTTTTAAATGGTTTAGACTACAATTCAATCTGGAAAAAATTAAAGTTAGCTACAGATCTACAATTATTTCTTCTGAAGTTGGATGTCCATGAATTATCAAATTCAATTGTTTGATGTTCAGGATTTCTAAGATTTTTTTTACAAAAGATATTTGTTATAGACTGTTCCACGCAAAGTGTTTGGATCACACCAAGCACTAACGCCATCCCAAGACAGCCTTTGTATGATTGCAAAATGATATTAAATCCAGTGCGATATGCTTCATCGCGTAATTCAGAGCACACTTTCTTAACTTATGCTTCGAGCATAACATCAGAACATACACCTTTGTTTGTCTTGAAACCTTTCTGGGTTGACATGAATTTGATGTCTATCAAAGAAAAGTAGTAAATAATAATGAGAGTAGTTCACAGTTGACGCGCTCAAGCTCCTTGAAAGCATATAATATATCTATATCTATAATATTTATTATTGTCTTGTTTTATAGACCTCATACCCTTCATGTTTATTACCAGAGTTTATGAAGCTAATTATTATCTATTGGCCCTATGACTTTATTTTATTTTCATGTTATGTTGAATGTATATATGTATTTTTTTTTATATCTCATGATTTATAATCTTCATAAAAGAGATTGATGAAGAAGATATTTTTGTTGTTGTATCCATCAGTCATGTTGAGCTTAACACACTACTTATTGTATATTATGTTTTATGTAAACAATGACATCACTTACTTTTTAGCTGAATTCTCATTCAAAAATCAATAGATTATGAGTAACCTTTCAAATCCAACCACTCATAAATAGCTTCAGTCTTCCGAGTCTTTTAGATATACATCTCCCAAAGATTTCTTTCCATCAATTGAGCTATACTACTTGCAAGCAATGTAATTTATAGATCTTATAAAAGTCTGTTTGGTTTTCTCTTTCATAAGAAAACTCCAATTAATATTTGAAGATAAAAAAATTAAAAACTCTAAAAATATAATCTTTTCATAAATGAAAATATCATATGATTTACTGGAATCTTCAAATACTTGAATACTGAATTTTTTGCGCCTAAATCCTTTTGAATTGTCTATAATCAAGAATATTGTGCAGTAATCAATGATAATAATCCATCAATAATAATTCTACACATTAAAAGTATCATTTACTTGATTGACATATATTTGAAAATTAAGTTCTCTAATTGCATCATAATTCAATCTATTTCATGAAGATATCTAACTTCATGGTTTCAATTCTATTAATTTATTGTCTAAATAAGTAAATGGGTTAAAATCTGATAATTATATCTCAATAATGCCTCAAAATCACATTTTAAGATATCATTAAGCACAAGCTTATTAAGATTAAACATCAAATCACGACTAAATTCTGAACTATTATGGTTAGAATTAATATTACACTGCTCAATCTGCAACCATTGTTTATCCTAGTTGAGTCTGCTTTGAAAACTTCAACCAGATATTTTATAAAATTAGTGTATGATCTCAATACCCAAATGAACAACATAATTCCAATTTGAAGAAATCCTCGAATGTGTGTGGATACAATAGAAAACATCTAAACCGTACATAATTTCACTTAATTTACGCAGTTGCAAGTTTCATATGATTGAGATGAAACATACATGATGTCAAAATGACATCATGTTTGTGAAAGTAATGAGTTTTTATGTCGTGGGTTCAACAACATACATATAACCTTTTCCGTATTGTTTATATCTGTGATATATATATATATATATATAAGATTGAGTACATTTTTTGTCTAAAACAGTATACACAATGGAAAAAAAACTGTAATAGAGGTAAACACACAAAATTGAGTGATTCACATCAGCAAAATCACATACAAAATTATAAAGAGACCTAATTAAGAACCCTAATTTGTGTCAAAGTCAACTTTCGTCCGATCCTTTTAATAAAACATGATTGCACTGATTTAACAAACCATGATTATACAAACTAAAATAAACCAACAGTCAAATTCAATTTATAACAAAATATAAATTAAAATTTGTAATTCTGGACAGAATTACAACCAACTACCCGAAGGCAAAGCGAGATTTATTGTGGATGGGATAAGAGGCAGTGGATAATAGATAGAGGTCTCTGCAAAGGAAAGTCGAAACGGGGTCAGTTGTGGCGACAAGAATGTGGAAGTGTTCGGTGCTTGATGTTCAAGCCTTCGACTCCGAGTCTTCTTCATGTCCAAAACCCCGAAAACTCCTCTGGTTTCATTTGAATAATGGTTCATCTCACGTTCTCCCTTTGTTCATTCATATGGTCCTTCAAGACGATTAGACAGGAGAGGCCTCTCAGATCATTCACCCATACTTTTGTTTGTGGGAACTTAGAAGATATCATTCGCAAAATCCATCAAGATTCAAGACATATACTTCTCTTTTACAAACACTGAGCAGCAAAACAGACTTTCACAAGGGAGAGGTGACATGCTCGGGCCAGGACTTGGCGACCTTCTCTACCAACTCAGAAGGGTTGTCATTCGAATTGGTATCTTTGTGGGGAAAAAGGTTTGCCTTTGTGATATGGCTGGCTATGATTGCACTCAAATGATGAACTCGTGAAGAGGCAACGAGGATCACACTTGTCATGTGTTTGATTATGCTCTCAGACTTGGCATTTGAGTATCGGACTTCACAACGAAAATTGCTTCCAGCCCTAAATAGGAGCACAGACGACAGAAGGATGGATAGATTCCGTGAGGGAAGATGAACGTTCCATGTCCACTTCCCTCCCATTTCAATGATATGTTACCCCAGAACTGCAGTATATGAGGCATAGATACTAAGTGTCGTCTCGTGGTTTTGATTTCGGGGGCTTTTCTCACCTTCTCGGTGGAAGATCTGATGGAAAAGCTGATGAAACGCTGTGAGGCGTGGCGAATGAAATCCGTGCGTTAGAGCTTTTCCTCCAAGCTGCCTTAGGCTGGATTTGCTGTCCCTGGATGTCGAACGTTCGCGGCGAGACGTGAGTGGTGGGCCATCAAGCAGTTCAACTCGTTCCCCGGTAGGCCTTCTGATGAATTGAGGAGTTTCTTCACTTCCATGGAGGTGAAGATCTTCCTTTATTATGAAAGTGAAATAAACGCTTGATCCGCTTTCAAATTTCTGCATGAGCGAGACTTCAACATAGAATGCTCACAAGTGCCCTTTGAGCTAAAGAGCTCCCGCAACCTTCATCTGGCACCGAGTTCGATGATCCAAATCGAAAACCTCCGTGAAAAAGAAGCAGACTGACTGGCACTGCTCGCATGTTGAGTTCTCCGTCTCATTTCGGCAAGTAGATGATTCACAAGAGTGCCTAGGAAAAGGATCGCTTTCACTTAAACGGCTGGAACTACTAACTGGCAGACATTCCCAAAACAAAATGCCGTCATTTGTGAAGAAACTAAACTCATGAGCCCAAACACAGACAGACAGACACACTGCATCCACAACAAGACTTGCACAATCATGCCTCCTGTACGAATCTCTATGACATCAAGTATGGGGAAAGTTGATGACAAAGGTCTTAGGGACCTGAGTAGACCAGATTGCTCCTGCTGATCACGTGGCCCAACAACCCACCTGCTTCAAATGATCTGATCAGATGACTACGTCAGCTTAAAGAATGTGAAGGAGGAAATCAGGTCGCCATCAGAGCCCACTTACTCGATGTTCTCTGTCAGACGGAAAATCGACACCTGTATAGAAATGTAGGGGTGGATCCTAAACCGTCTCGCGAGGCTCTCCAGGAGGAACAGCTTGGAGACAACGCACACTGAGTATCTAAATAGCTCGACCTAATGCACTATGCATACGCCTGCAGTTTATGACCGGTCAGCCTGCAAATTCTCCATTCAGGCATGACAGTAGCTCCCATGCCTTCGTAAAAGTTAATCGCATTGACGTTCCAATCCAGCACGCACCACTCGACTCTGCCCAGACCCCGCTGGGCAGCCTGCTGTGCGACAGTTTTGAGCAAAATTGTGCCAAGGCCTTGGCGTCTGTAAGCCTCTCGGACATAGATATCCTCGATGTAAATCCCGTGCTTGGCCAACCATGTCGAGTAATTCGGAAAGAAAAGTGTGAAGCCAACAATTGTGCGCGTCTCGTCATGAGAAGATACAAATGCAGCATCGTCCGGATCCTCGACCCCTTTCAGATTGATTTCCTCGTACGCTAGCTCGCCACTCGACCTGTCGAGACCATCCTCGGCTACCGCGGGTCCAGAGTTCAGGGGATCGAGCTCGAGCATGAGCACGGTAACACCCTCGAAAGGAGGCTGGCGGAAGAGACTCGACTCGAGAGCAGATTCTGTAGCATGACATTGTTCCGGAAGCTTCTCATACAGAGCAAGGGCCTCAATCAGTCGCTTGATGGCGGGCACATCGGCCTTGGTTGCAAGACGGACGTGCACTCCCGCTCGCTTCGCTGCTTCTGTAGCCATCGCAGCTCAGCTCAACTCACACCACGACCAGCACTGGAAACAACGCTCGGTTCGTTGCGTGCGGCAGGATTTTCTTAACCCAATCTTTCCTCGACTCCCTCGACTGTCCAGTTTCTTCCGGCGCCTCGTGCTCGATGCGCAATTCCAAACCTCTGCTCTCCCGAGTTGCAATGTCGCCTCGAGCAGCACCGATCGCCACAGAGCAGCCTTGAATGTCTGCACCTCCCCCGGCCCCTCTCAGTCCGATCCGGGTCGACCGGGTTCCACCGGCTCGACCGGTTCTCCCTGGCTCCTCTCGCCGTCCTGCAGGTGCACCAGTCCACGGGCCAGCTGCGCACGTCGCTCGAGAGTGGGAGGTTCGCACAGTCTTCAGGTGCTGGATGCGCTGCGTTTGGGCGTGGTGAGATGGTGAGATCGCTCGTGGTGTGCCCGGGCAGCATCGACTTTTTTCGCAACTTTGCTCAGTGCCTCTCGTGGAAGAGCATAACGGTGACCTCGTTTTCAGAATTGTGCTGCTCGCATGAATCAAAGTGTATTCAGAGCTAGCGTTCGGCTGGAGGGAGATGATATAGCTCTTCCTGCGCAGCTCTGTCGCAGAGGATGGCAGAATGAAATCACTTCGCTGGCTGTGAGGGCGGGTGGGACTGAAACAGCTGCTTCCAATACTCCTTTCATCTGCTGGATCTACATCCGTAGGAATGAAACCGGCACACGAGGTCGTCTGTAGGAATGAAACCGGCACACGAGGTCGTCTGTACCATATCGCAGCTCTGACATGGTGTTCCGAAGGCCCTCGAGATATCGGTACAGACAGTGCGTGATCCGGGTTCCCGATCCATACAATCAACTTAGAATGCCGCTTTTGGAGGATTCGACACAAACTTCACGACTGAAGAGTCCAGCTTTCTCATTCACATAATCAAATCACAAACCAACAACCAACAACCACGGAGCGTTTGCAGAGAAGTTGTGCACGAATAGACTTCAGGCGACGGACTGAATGTCTTTCAAAGCTTTAATAGGCGTGGCTACGACAGTGGCCCGAAACAATCGATAGTAATAATCTGAGTGGATCCCTCAGATATGATACACTTAGTTAAATTGCGCACACTTTCATACAGAGTCGTAACGACGTTACTCAATGTGATTCGATCATAAGTGGACACTCCACCAAAACAGTTGTTGTGCAGATAGTAGCGGTAACACAGCGTGTGCAGAAATCTCCCTCTGAATCCCTACGTGGCAGCACTGCAGTTTCTCCATCTATTGCAATTAGGTTGCTTCGAAACCTTTCCATCATCGAGGACACACTTCAGAACTAGCAACTTGCAGAAGTGGCAGGTTACAACAATCAAGCCTGCTCGCGAAGATAGCGAGCATGTCTGACAAGTTGACGTAATGGTTCAGCCATCACGCTAGTGCAGTCCCCAGACCTTCAATGCTGTGAACCTTACCCCTCTGATCCCAGTAGCTACAATTGGGATCAATCAACATCAATCACCTTCAGAATGCAAAGCTGCTTGTTCTGAGGAACACAGTTCCCTTGTTGATCAAGAGACTGAAACTAATCCTCCGGTTTGCCTAACATAAACGTCAGCCAGCCCCACTCTCAACTTCCGCCAGAATGGAAGTTGCAGTGATGGCTTGTGAGCCACACCCAGGACTCGTGACGGCTCCAAGCACAATAATCTCCCTTGATCCAGCACCCTCACCTGAATCCCGCTTTTATTGACGGCAAACGTGGACACCTGACGAAGGAGCACAGATAGAAGAGACGGAGCATATGACCAAGGAGACGAATATGCGGGCACAGAAAAAAATTACTGCACATACGCTTGGCCTCCTAGGACCATGTATACCTTCCATCCTGGTTATAGTAGGACTTGAAGAACCATGTGCCCATCCATCCTACATATACTAGGACTTGCAGAACCTCAACAGCTAGACGACAGCTTTATTACAGTCCACTCTGGGTATTGCCCTCTTCACCGACCTGCATTTGAAGGTCCAACAAACTTCAGTTTCCATCCCGAAATACCACTTTTGACAATAACCATGCGGCACAGGTCTTGGCGACGCTGCAAAGTGTCATACACAAGATCTACAGAATCAGTCCAGGTCATATTTCCACGTTGCAAGTACATCCATCTTCCAGAGAAAGTGGTGAGATTTCTGTTCTCTCGTTTCTGACATGGTGATATTTCCGTGCGCAAATACCACTTCCTTTCTACCACTTCATTCGTGGGAAAAAAACCTATTTACAGCAGTCGTAAGACCAGGAACATTTCCTTTGACAGATTCGTACGAATGCTATTACGAAGAGAAACCAGGAAACGAAGTGAAGTAATTTTCGTGCAAGGGGGGCATTTCTCCAGTTCAGCTAATTGAGCTAAAATAATTCCATCTCTATGGAGAAGAATGCAAACACAAATACCAGCGTGAATATTCATGGGAGAGCTCCCTTCAGAGCGCACCCGAGGCTTGCCACGAGATGTAGAGTTCCATCTTCGCGCCCTAATATGCACATGCTCAATCTACCCTTCAGATAGAGACTGACGAGAAGCTCGAATCCCCAACACGTTCCAGCTCTGGCTTTTGTTTACTCTTCGGAGGTTTCAGTTCACACTGACAAGCTCAAAGAAACCCCAGCAGATCTTACGGCAGTGCAGGGAGGTGCAGGATTCCAATGCTGTTGGGGGCTTGAGACCGCCATCGATTCTAATGAGGAAGACTCATATCTTTATTCCTAGCTTGGCAGAGGAATTGCACACGCAGGATATGCATACAGCTAACTGTTGAATGTGATGTCTACTCAGTCTCTCGCTCCAAACGCTAATGTACTTCGTGGCTCCACAACTCTCCACAGCACTTAAATGAACAATAGCTGCCGTCGCCCCAAGCACATTGACATAATTCCCTAGTCCTAGAACTCAACCAACAGAAGAAAAGAAAAATAAGGAAACGACCCACATGATGGCACTGCCGACTGGTCCCACCTTTTAAGATGAGAGATGGCGACTCAGAAGCCCATCAAATGCAATATACAGGTCCTTGTTATCGGGTCCGAACGTCTTGTCTGCTTTCCTCAGAGTCTCCTCGCGCGTTTGCCGATGCGCATTGAGCTCCTTGATGTTGGCCAGAAAGGCGCTGAACTGCTCGTACGACAGCCGATTCCTCGCTTGCCTGAAGAATTCCTTGCCGTCGACACGAGGAGTGCGTCCGGGCGTGGAGTTGACGTTCGGCGGAGAGTTGGGCGCCGTGGTGGACCGGCTGGAAGGCAGAGACAGGGGCAGCGGCACCTTGCTGCTCTCTTGGGGTGGCGGTCGTTCCGGCGAACCTGCAGATTGCCATCTCGAGGATTCATTCGGCGGTGGCTGAGAGATTGGTTGAGGAGGCGTCGGGACGGGTGCATACGTTTGGGGCGGCAAAGGAGGCGTGTGGGAAGTGTTAGATTGTTTGGTGGGTGCATCCATCTCCAAGTGCTTAACATCCTGATTACCTGCCGCAGGCACGCCGAGGTCTGCAGGGGCAGGCGCGCCTCCTTGGCTCAGGTTTTCGCTGTCATTATCTTCGTTCCACATGTGGCCCCTGTTGTTCATCCAGGAATCGGAGTTGGGCGTTTTCTTGGCCTCGCTGGCCACGAGAGCGGCCACCGATGCATGACCCCCGTACTCGGACGACTTGTGGCCACCGTCGTCGTCTTCTTGCAAAGATTGCATGAGCGTTCGTTTAAAGGTTTCCAACTTGGCCACATCGCGATTGAGCTTCTTCACGGTGTTCACGAGCAGGTTTCTCTCATTCGTCAGCTTCGCTTGCTCATCCAGAGCCGAGGACAGGCGAGCGGTGGTCTCTTGCAGAGTGGTCTCGGCATCTATCACGCGGTCGTTCAGGTCAGTGATAATTAAATCCTTCTCCGCCAACTTGGCTCTCAGCTTTCCCGTCTCCCCCTCTAGCTTCGACAACCTCTCCGCCACAGCCATGGCGGTGATTCTCCGGGCCAAATCGAGCTGTTCATACGGGTCCGATGGAAGCACCGCCAATACATCCTGCGGTATCTCGAAATTCCCTCCGTTCCCCATCTCGAATCCTCCGCTCCCGCTCCCCAATTGTGACAGATCTGCTCCACTCCGCCCGTCTCTCTCCCCTCCACCTCCACGAACTCCTCAATCCACCCCCTCCCCGCGAGGTTTATCACACACACACTCACAAATACGCACACGCACGCTCACTCACTCTCACTCTCCCTCCCTCCCTCTCGACACCAACCAGTCGCGCTTCCGAATCCCTGCCCGCGCCCCCTCCCCTACCTCCTCCGCTTCCGCTTGTTGGTGCCCTTTGGCACTGGTGTCCAGAATTTCTCGCTCCAGTCCACGACGTCAAAGATACGCACGTACACAGACAACCTTTTCCACGATCCGAAGCAGCAGCAGCAAAGCGGCAAACACAAACCCTTCGTCGTCCTTCCCTCCCTCCCTCGCTGCCTCCAATCAATCCCTCGAGGAAAGACGGAGCGAGGCGTCACTAATTGCCCTCTCCTTCTGCTTCGTCCGCCTCGCCGCTACTACATCTACATCTACTAAACCACGACCGGCGGTCAACCAGGAAGGCAGCCCGGCCCGAGCTGCTGGTGCTGCTGCTGCGCGAGGCGAGAGTCACCAACACAGCGCAACATCCAGAACCGCAGGCAGCAGCCGATGCTCATGGCGCTCAGCAGCCACTCATTCGCCCCGACGCTGGATTGCGCCCCTCTCCTCTTCCCTCCCTCCTTCCATAATGGCCTTCCCCCTTCCCCCTCCCCTCCCTTCCTCTCTCTTCCCTGCCCTGCCCCGATTCTCTCCCGGTTCGCGACGAGGACTGTTGGTCCCTCCCGCCGCCCGCCCGCCCGGCCACAGTCGAAGTAGGGTTCTCCGGTTCAAACAGGACCAGCGCCAGCGTTTCCAGCGTCCCGCCCTCCGCGGAACCGGACGGTGGTTGGGGCCAACTCTGACGGCTCTTCCAGGCCCCCGTCAGTTTCCTTCCGTTCGAGCCAGCATCGCACTCAGGCACCCGTCGCTAACTTGACGGCTCCCGCAATTTGGCGTGCCCCGACCCGAGGCCAGGCGAGCATAGGCCTAGAGCCGAGCCGCGCAGAGGGGTAGAAGTAGTAGGAGTAGGCTTTTCATGGTGCCCATCTCTTTATCCACTCTTTTCCCGACGGCCAGTAAGAGCGTTGTTGTGTTGTGGACGCTCATTCCTCTGACCTCCTCACTCACTGGAGGCCTCTCCTGGCCCATCGCAGCGTCCTCATTTTGGACGCCTGATTTCTGGTCGCCTCCCTTATGATCGATTGAGCCCGGCACGGATAGAATCTCCAGTCTTCTCTGAGGATGGCTGGCTGGATCGGTCTCCCATTCCCATGGATTTGCGATAGCCTGAGCAGACTCTGTAATTCAAGGACCAGACGGCGTTTGGTCACGGCTCAAGTCATATGGGCTCTCCTTCGAATGGACGGGATGACTAATCCATTACTAGAACTTCCGTTCCAGTGATTGTGCAGTGAAGTGCTCGTGAATATAATAAAATGACACTACGCCGGCCAAACGAGGCGTATTAGCCCGCTGCATAATTCCGGGGCTGAACATGTGGCCTGTAGAGGACGAACCCGCGCCAACAGCTAGCTACATTCCAAGCGGCATGGCCTGGCCACTGTCGTCGGGCACTTAACGGACACCACAAGTTGACACCATCAGAACTGGGGCTTGTGGGGAACCTCGTAGAGCTCTGCTAGTCTGGAGCTATTGTCTCGGTAACAACAGCAGTGAAAAGCACACATCCTAGATAGTACATGATGGGACGCACAGACTGCCAAAGAACTAACACGAGAGTAAAGAAAGATTCTGATCTGAATCCCAGCCACAGCCAGGAACAGCTACAAGTGGGGTGTGGCCCACTTGGCCCATGGCTAAACTCCCCAGATTCACCAGGATCAGTAACTGCGGTTACCTCATATCTACTCATCTCCCGACCCATGAGATGGATTGCGAGATTCATTTCATGCAGAGAAGAAAGTCAGTGGCAATGTGATCGCATTTAATAACGGGGAAGCGACCTGTTTGACTTGCCCAATCTCCTGACCTCCAGGCCTAAATTCGATCGGGCCTCCAGGCAATTTGAGAGATCGAGAGCATCCGCCAAAAAAATAGTCGATTCTACTGGAAATAGCGAAGGGGATGTGGAACCAGATCCCATTACGAAGCAAACTAGTCAACGCTAGTTTATTTCATTTTAGCCCAAGAGGGTGACCTTTCTTTGGAAACTTAGGATCAAAAGGGTAAAATCAAGAGGTGGTTTGCCAGCTACTATATCCTGTGGCAGTATGTACTGATATCAAGGAACACCTTGTATTGGGATGCATAGCCCTCTGTCTCCTCTCACTCTCTCTGTCTCTCTGTCTCACATCCATGTCGCATTCTGCCATCCGATTTTCAATCAGTCCATGTCTCTCCTCTCCTCCGATCAAATAGAGGAAAGCCTTTTATTTTACTAACTTCTGGACTATTGCTTTTGAAAATTCAGTTTTACAGTTCGGAGATAAACATATTTCATTTTTCATGGGACTGGCATCACCTGATTCATAGAAGATACCGAACGTGCAGGAAATAAATCTGCAGTACTGATTCTGCAACAACTAACCTCCCTAGGACTTCACCAAGTGAAGAGTAGACACTGCTACACTCGACCTTCCTGGAGAACAAAGTTCCCATTATAGATGCCTTTGTAACTAAACATTCCCCTGTTTGTCTAACCTATGTGCAAAGTCACTAGTTCTTATATTGTGTTGGGGATCCGGAGAAGAACTGACCTTTGTGTCGAAGTTTCTCTCTGCATTGGTTAGAAAGTTACAGAATCTTCAGTATAGGATGTAGAGATGCGTCTGTACAGTAAATCAATTAAATTTAGACCAGTTAAGACATTGCAGATGTTGATAATCGGGTAGTATTCGTTCTAGTGACTGACATAGTGTAATGGCATGATGGTGTTGTATAACTACCAGCTTCGCACATCCGAGTCAAGCCAAATCGCTCAATAGTCTTGAAGGCTAAAGGGATCAAAGTCATTTCCTTTCCTTATGAGTCTTAACTGCGGTATGAAGCTTAGAATTCGCATTCCTACCTTCTAGTACTAGTTTTTGTCATTGTGTTGGACTCTTCCGTATCCTTTCTGTTCTTGAGCAATTAGCTCATAGACATACTCGATTCCATACTCGTATTATTTTTCAAAAGAAGGTTCAAAACAGAACTCCAGATGATCGAGCGATGTTCAGCGACAGTACAGGAATATGTGTGTGCGCGCTTTACACGATGTAGTCAAACATGAATCAATCAGTATGGTTTTTATTAATTTCTCACCATCTATTGAGCATTTCAGATGCGTGGTGAGGCTGTAAAACCGGCGGCTTCTCAAAAAGCGCAGTAGGTCAGGTCATTCGTTGTCAACTAATTTACAACCTACGTATTCCTCGGTTGAGGCATACGCTATGACTAGCGTCACCTTCAAGGATAAAACCCTTGCCCATCCTCCAAATGCCTGAAATCCGCAAGATACTCATTCTAAAAGGCAGCAAGCCAAAAGTTGAACGCTCCTCCTACTTCACTTATCACATTGAAGCAGAATGTCTCCGATCTCCTGCAATGAAGCTAATGTCTTTGCAAGAATACTTACTGTATGGAACACTGGACAAAATTCTGCAGATAATTACAGTCTATCTCCAAGACCAGCCGGCTCAGTGTCCAAAATGTAAATTTACTGTATAGACTATCCAATTCAATTCAAGTAATATGATAGGCTTCTACAGAACTAACCAAATAGGTTCGTCCAAAACTCCTGGGAAAAAAAATATATTCAAGTTGATTGACTTGAGAGCCCCTTTCTTTACATGTGAAGCCCAGCCAGCCTTGAAGATGAATCTTACAAGCAGGATAAACGTTTCTACAATCCGAGAACCTACCTAAAAAGACGTAGCATATTTGACCTCAGGCATTACGCAAATCGATTACGTCAAATCTTAGCTGGGGGTTCATATACACGTGCGCACAATGCTCATATATTGGACTTCCATCTGAAGGTTCCTCATGAGGATGAAACCCACGCTTCTGACACTGTTGTATCGTCTTAACACCCCCTGGATCTGAAAGTCGAAAAATTCCAAATTTCCTGCAACCCCGAGGTTTTATACATAGTTGGATATTAGACTATGGGACTCTGAACTTTACAGCTGCTTTAACAAATATAATATCATGAGTAATACAATCTTTTGTAAGAATATGCGGTATCTGTGATGAAAGAATGTATAGAAGAGGGATACATACCTATCGGTGTCCGTTGGTGCCATAACAATAGCAATGGCCTCCTGAAGCATTATCTGCCAGCCACAAGAGTTCACTTTCAGTTAACCTAAACGTCTCCAGTTCTGAGTCCAAGATCAATCTCCTTCATGTAAAACTAAAAACATCAACACTTCAGCACAGTCAGTGTGTAAATGGTGATAACCTTAACTACTTATCATATTTTTTTAAAACAAACCCCATGGCTGGACTGCGAAGACACAAAACCAGGATAGAAGAAATATAAGTACTGACCTGATATGAGTAGTGCGTGTGCAAATCAACAGACGACATGAAACAAGTTTGAGAAGGATGTGTCTGCACGTCATTATACAAACAAGTGTCAGCTGAAATATCTAGTTCTCCCCCTCCCTATCAAAGTCATGTTGGTGAATAAGCTTCGAACAAATTATTATTATGAGACTTATATTATTATGGGCCCTTGAGAATGTTTTCAAACATTCATAACTTTTACTTAATGACTCAAAAGCATGTCAAGAGAGGTGATAACTGAGAGCGGACTTTACATGAATCCATCCAAGTTGAAAGAGACCACGCCTATCCTGAGCTTCAAATATCTCCTCTTCGTTCACCGTTTGACACTGAATAGATGAAGGCAAACGAGATTAATTGATAATTTGTCGAGAAAAACGGCGACGATCCTTGTGCAGTCCAGCTACTTAGGAATCTGATGAAACAGCAAGGACAGATAATATATTTCTACATTTACATATCAGGAATTTGGATCCATATGCGACACTCACAGAATCCGACGTTGCTTCCTGCTTCGGTATTATAAGAGTGGTGACATTGAAGACGCCTGTTTTCTGTTAAACAGACACAAGAATCAATCAACTCAGATCCTCTCATATCAAACGTCAACAGAGCGGTCTATGAAGTATGTTCAAATCGTTGTATAATATTTCAAAGATACACATACCAAAGATCCGGCAAGCACTCCACAAGTTTCGAGATTTTTTTGCGTATTCAATCTCGAGAGAGCCATGAACTCTTCCATCATTTTGCTTGACTGACAGCATTAACAGAAAGATGTGTCAGTTGTAACCGGAACTAAACTCCACTTAGGTCCAACAAGGAAGAACAAAAAAAATTGCATCTTCATGTGATAGATTATAAAAACCAGCTCGGAATGCAGCATTCCACATCATTCAGATACTGTGAACAGTGGGTATGATACGTCCCACTACTAAAACTACACAAGAATCACCGACGCAAAAAACTTACTATGTGTAAGTGTTTTACTCCTTTCCCTTGACTTAGGTCTTCATCTAGATGCTGTGGGGGACCTGGTCTTGGATCTGCAACGTTCTCAGGCGCAGGCTGAACGCACGTATGATCTACTGCATCAACTATTTGTACAGGTGCAAGAACTGGCGGAGGTGAAGGTTGTCTGATCAAGTTCGGCAAAGGAGCGACGTCAGGGCCAACAGGTGTGGCGTAACTAAGTGATTGAGGCCTAGGATCCGCGTCGGGCCACAGTACAGGTTCCGATGCAGGCTGCAATGGAGTATGCCAATTCTGTTCCAAACTACAGGTAAAAAGTTCATTGTGAGGTAGTGTCAGTACTCAAAACTAGACCATTAAGTCCTTTGTTTAACGATCCATCATAAATTCATTGAACTCGTACAGCAACAAAAGTTGTACAACTATTTTACTAGAATGTGATCTTCACAACCCACAACTAATTCAACCTTCACAGGAATATAACCTTGGCATCTCGATTGGCGACGCATCTATGTAGTTTGGATACTGTGCCTGCACACATAAGCTTTACTCAAAAACACTGTTTCCTTAACAGTCTGCAGACCATGAACAAAACTTTGATATAGAACAAATAATGAGAAAGAGAAAAAACATTGCATGACACATACTTTGAATGAAATTGCAGGTGTCTGCCTTCGAGGTACCGTAGGCGTCAAAAATGAATGTCTTGACAATGTTTCATCCTTCGGACGAGGAATGTGGAGAGACCTGTGAAGTTAAGGTAAAGGCAATTAAATTTCTTCAACAATATCGAGTAAATCACAAAAAATAAGTTCCATGGATATCTCACACAGATTACGTAATAGAATCGTCTAACAGGGTTAAGCATAAGAAAGTTGAATGATCAGGGGTGTACAGAATCTGTTTCCAGTGTATGAAAAAAAATAAAAATTACGAAAAAAACCGAGTAAATTACCCCGAAACATAAGCCATACACATTCTTGTTCTTTTATATACCAGACTCAATTTACTGTAATTGGACAAGCAATTCGTTTACCATCTGCTAGAGGACCCTCTACCTTAAAGATGAAATTAAAGGCAACAAAACCCCCACTTGGTCTATCCTAATCGACGTTACTTACAGACTCGAGAGACGAGAATCGACAGGAGTTGTGGCAGATGTAGGCCTCCAAGAGTCACGAGCAAGGTTTGTAACAAGTTCTCGACGTCCTCCTGATCCAATCCGTTGTAGATCCTTTAAGTACACAATTTATCAAAGCCAACCGCATTGAATAAGGCCTTTAATCATTCAAACTGCATGGTATAAGAAGTACCCAACCAGGTAATACTCCCTTTTACCCTTAAGGAAAGATCATTGCATAAAAATAGGTGCATCAGGTGAAAGACAAGTTTCAATCACACATCAGTCACTCTGCACCAGGATCTCCTTTACACCCTACGGGAAGATAATTGCAAAAATCAGGCCAATCAGGTGAAAGACAAGTTTCAATCTCACAACAATCAATCTTCACCAGGATCATATACCATCTGTCGAGGAAGATCCTCGACAGATGGTATATGATTTGTCACATTAAAGTTAGGTAACAAATTACCTTATCAGTACTCACACTCCTCTTTGGAACAGAAGGGAACATAGATGTGACATCCATCCAAGCAGACTCGTTTGTCGAAGAAGAAGCTGAACGAGTTACATTATTGAGTAAATTTATTTGTCGTAAAACTTCGGGCTTTAAAGTTTCCAGCTCACCTAGGACCTCTATCAGTCTCTGAAAAGTTCAAGTTCCACATTAGAGAAAATCAGCATCGAGATAAAATTTAGATTCCCTTTCACAGAAAATAATTACTCAGAAAAAAAAAATCCAGGTTGACAATGTTTATTCAAAATCAACTCTCATTTACTCATGAGTTCTCTGCCCTTTTATAACGTACCCTTTTATAATCTAATTTCTCCTTTGCAGGGGCGGTCCGATAGTCCCTATGCTCCGGGATAGTCTCGGAGACGAGGCTGCAGTATGCAAAGAAATCTTCAGATCATAATATCTTGTCTTGATTGAGAAAAAGTATATATGATTGGAGCCCGTGCAACTGCGCAACTTGCTAATACGCGGAAAACAAGACCTGGGACCCAGACACTCCAGCCCTTCTCGTACCAGGCAAGCATGAGTACGGCGTAAACTCTCATCTACGCAGGAGATCACTTACCTCGAAAAGCGAAGGAGCATAACGTACAAATCAATGACATTGTTCTCTTCCCGATATATGCTAGCCTGTCCATGCAGGGAGTCAAAATTGGTCATTTCTCAGCTTATGAATCCTTCACCAGCAACACAAGCAGCTCTAACATGAGCAGCATACTGACTTTCGAACAAAAAAAACGAACACATACATTACAAAATCAGACACGAGTATATGGAAGGAACAGTGCTGCCACAAAGAAAGCGAAAGCCAGAAGAGAATTGGGCCAAGGTGAAGGACCTGCTTCAGAAGATTAGCAGCCGTGCGGTAATAGAATCTGAGGGAGAGCCGATTGTCGACCTCGACTCTCCTGGTCTTGGCCGCAATATTTAAAGGGCCCGCCATCCTTCAGCAACTGCAACAGTAAAGCTCTATTCAAGAATCTTCAATTCGCCACCTTCCTAACACCCATGGACCAGCCGATGAAACGCGAACGAGAAGTGAGAACTGAACCAGGTCACGAACTCGTGAATTGGTCACTGTCTCACTCACGTCACTCACTCCATGAGCGGCAGGGCCACGCTCACCATCACAAACCGGAAAAAAAAGATGCACCGGAACAGCAGCGAAATTGACAGAATGGAATCGACGATAAACATCAAGGACCAATGGGCAATTGGACCGTCGATGATCCGCCGAAAGGCGCACCAAAACACCACCCCGGACGAAAAAAACCCCCAAAAACCAAGAAAATCTATCTACACCCCGGAATCGGAGACCGTAAAACGAGGACCCAACAGCCGACGACCGATTTGCGACAGAAGCCCGAACTAGATCGCACTCGCGGAATCTCTCAGGGGTGCTGCGCTGCTGAAGCGATCTCCGGAGGAAGGTGTCGACATCAAGGCAGGGGAGCGAGACCGGCTGGACGACACATTATTCTGCCTACGACGAGACACTGCCACTTCGACTACGCCGTGAAGGAACGCACGCCCACGCACACACACTCTCACACTCACGCACACACAGAGGACGCGAAGGACGACGGGCGAGGCGAGCCAGCGGTGAAGGGCGGCCCGGCCACGACACGCTCGCCCGCAACACGCAGCGGACGACTCCACCTTTGCTTCGTTCCGAAGCTACGCTCGCCCGCGCCAACGGAAGGCGCGGCCCCGTCCGCCCATCCGGCCGTCCGTCCGTTTCTTTACAATTTCCGTGCGGCTCCTCCTGCCGGGCGGGCGAATGTTCCAAGTTTGGTCGTGTTTCGAATTCTCAGGCCCGGATGGCCGCCGACTTCTCATTCGTCAGCCTCTGGGACCTGAACCTTCGCTCTGTCTCTAGTGCTGACTGTGCGTGCGTACTCGGGCGGCGAACACAACCTGGAGGATGACGTGGACTCCTTCGTACCCGACTTCAGGAAGGCATGAGAGTGTATTTACCTCATGCTCGGTCCGATAGCGAGGCAGATGGGCACTGGCCGATTCCTCCATCGCCTTCGGAGAAGATCGATTGTGACAATCGTGTGTCATCATCGGTTAGATTCGACTCTGGTGAACAACCTCTGACTTGCACTGGCTTGATAGTTCTTCGTTTGGCATGTCCAGGACATGGCTGTTATGCTGCACCTTCAGTCTATAGCTTGAAATTCTCGCAAGAAAATCTTGTGGTACAGTTTTTCCTATGTATCACGAGAATTATTGTTTCCTCCCGGAGTAGTATATGTGTCACTATCTGACACTGGCTATTGACATGAAAACACCCCGAGAAGCTCATCACAACCTCGGTCGGGCCTAGCCCGAATTGCTTCTGTTTCATCTTCTTTTGGTTTGATGGGGGTTAAACCATTCCAAACCTCTCTTAAACACTCTCTCTTAACTTAGATCTGTATTCGTGTTGTCATCAATGGCCACCGATAAACTCACAAATTACACACATATCCCTTTTAAATTTCCTCTCGCATGATTATTGGGTTTAGGTTTGAGCATATGAATATACAATTGTACAATCCGTAAAACTAATTGACGGTACTGCTATATTAACGATAACAAGTGAACTTGGTTGGTAAATATAGGTAAAAAGGATATTGAATTTGCTCATTGGATTTCGGACCACATTTCGAATGGCAAGACTTTGATGTCGATAGGCTTTGATTTGAAAGCAGCCAGAGATATGATTGATAGAAGGCATGCGTATTGAGATGAACTATGATATAGACTTAACCTAGATAAATGGCCTTATTCAAGCTCGGAAATATGTTGATAATTTAAATTGAAAGATGGTCAGGATGATGATCACAAAAATTCGAAAATCCATTGAGTGGTTTCTCTCGGCTCTAGATGAAGTGAAAATATCAATCTCGCATAACACGCGATTGTAGATTAATCGAGGATTGAATGTGTAGTCAAGAGAGAACTAACAAACTTGATGATCCTGTTTTCTTGGATCTGGCAGTCTCATCCCTGGACCTGTAGTCGTCGGCCTCGGGCTGCAGTGTCATTTAATATTTTCAAATACACTCTAGGGAATCCTTCTCATACTGTTTCAAATGACATTCATTTGTTAGATATTTCGTCGAGGATGACCTGCCATCCCTCCTTTGCCATTTGCTGCGTGTACGTCAGTTTACCAGCTTTTCTTCGAAACATAGCCGCCAAAATCCCAAACTGAGGCGCGAACCGCATACGAGTCCAACCGCCACCAGAACTGCAGCTACTTCAGCTATATCAGAATCAATGAATCTAAGTGTCTGCTTTTGTAAATATGCAGTGGAGCCCAACTAGTTTGGGCGCAAGCGAGTCGAAGCTGGTATTGATTTTGTGTCCAGTTCTTGTACAAGATCATTTGCACCACAATATGTACCTCGTGAGCTGAGTGCACAATTCTGAAAATTCACGTGGAAAAGAGTACTGCTGTTTGGCATAACTCCATCTCAGATTCAGGTGCAGTGGAGGTTGCGCTTCCAGACGTGGAACCGCCACTGGTCAATGACAAAGGGGAGAGCATATCTGCCCTGGATGATTCAATATCGGTAGGAGAATCTGATTCGTAAAATCTGCACGACAGATAGGCCGCTTGCTCTTGGAGCGTCCGGGTACCTGCCATGGGGCTAAACTGGCAGGGAAACATTCCCCTCGCAGGAATGTCGGAGTGGCATGGCTCTCCAATCTCGCAGTCCAACGTGTTAAGGTAGCTTGGCAAGGTTGGAAGTGACAAACATTTCATAGATAGATCACGAGGGGATGCTGAGGCAATTGACAGCTTCTTCAGAGCCCGGTAACGAGGAGATGGTGTACATATAGTTAACCCTGGTGAGGTTTCCTCTGTCAAGCATTCATCCCATGGCAGCGAGCAAGGCTTCCCTGACAAAGCTTCAATATAAGCGACTGATGGATCTGAACCCGTGGAGGCCACGGATTGTGGACGTTTATGTTTCATAGGAGTGAAGTGGCCAGATCCTGTCTCACTGTCCCGTTCGACGCTTCGTGTAATCTTGCTTGGAGACAAGGACATCGACCCTTCCTTCTCCGGTGCCTGCTCACGAGGAGATGATAAGCAGGGACTCATCCAACTGAGAATTTCTGAGGACCAGGTCCCATCCTGTCGAGGAGCGGACACGTTCCCCTGGACATCGAAATACCCAGACATATCCTCTGCTTCCAGAATCTCTTGTGGTAAAATACATTCAAGTTTGTCAGAAAATTTGTCACATGCAGCATCTACACCTTCAGAGACAGGAGAAAAATCCCACGATTTGGCTGTCACAGTTGAGGAGGAGTAGGATGACTCTCCCGAGGATAGAGCGATTCCACGTTCACGGCATAAGTAATTCCGCACGCTGAAAACCTTTCCAGGGTCTATCTCCAAAGCAGAGATGGCACATGATGACAGATCCCTCGTAACTTCTGGAAGATTGAATGCTCCCAACGGATTTCTGTAAGGACCTCCAAGCCCTGTCACAACGTTACGTTTATCGCCTGCTCTGAGGGGTTCATCTTGCATTTTCTTCACCGAACTCATTCCATACCTGCAGCTTGACATGACATCCAGCTGAACAGAGTGTTGTGGAGCAGAACGATACGACCCATAGCCAGACCGAGAAGGTCCAACAATTGGGGGTAGTACGCATGGATCAGAGGATGATTTGGGCCGTACGTAATCTTGAGGAGAAACAGCAGAAGCTTCTGTTACCTCCACAACAGGCTCAGTTTCAATACCTGTGGGAGGGAACCAATCTCCGACTGCCATGAAGTCAAGGTTGTTGGTAGAATCCCAAGCTTCCATCTCGAAGGGCTTCAGACGAAAAGGAACAGGCTGGCCGAACCTTGTCAACATAGGCCGGAGAGTAACAGGTTCTACTTGTAACTTTGCATTCAGAATACGGTGAGGATGAGGTAGCTCCAAGATCTCCTCAATATCTCTTGTGTGCGGGTCCCTCGCACTTCCAGTTTCAAAACTAATGCACCAGAGTCAATTTGCCACAGCTCAGAAGAAAATCTTGCGAAGAGATCGTTAACACGTACAAGTTTTGAGTTAGAATATAGAGGCGAGGTGGGCGACGCAGGCAGAGTGGTAGACCTCAGAACTCAAAACTTAGTTGCATCCCAAGAATGCCTTGAGAAAGGTCTAACAGACCTGAATTCATTTGTGCTCTACAGAGTGTAACAGATTTCTCCTCCCTAACATGAACAGCCGAAGGCTTCTAAAAATCACCGCCACGCACAATCCCTGATGTGACAATATCCTAAATTTGCTCTTCTTCACAAAAATTCTCCACGGCAGGTGAATCAATTCCAGAAGCAGTACGAGCCAACAAGAAAGACTCTCCGACATTCCTACAATTGACCTGTCGTAGCAGCTACTTATCATTAGCTTACCTAGTATATAAGTGTTGATAATCTAGCAATAAATCTAACGGGATATAATAGGTTTTGGGATCAGCTTTACTACTTGATCGTCCCTTTCGTGATTGACGCGGTGCAAGGTCCTGCTGTGGTCATCAATGCTTTCCCTTGGAAACAAGCGACACCGGAGTCATCAGTGTGAAGATCCTGCGCACCCCACGAACATACACGATAAGATACATGAAAGGCACGAAGAACTCACTACTGTATCGGCAACCACCCAGTCCTTACTATAAAGACATCCAGAGAAGATTTAGCAGCAACTTACAGGATAAAGTTTGTCCCATTGCTTCTTCTTGGGATTCAAGACGGGTTCTGGCTTTCCCTCGTAGCTGCGCATGCACAATGAGACGTTAAGGAAAATATTCCCATAAAGAGAACCCAAGCTGGACCGAATCACACTAAATCAAACAACAACGAATACCTTCGCTCACAGAAAGGCAACGATCGTGCTCAAAAACAATGTGGAGCTCGGTCAATACGTAATGTCAAAGGCCATTCGCGCTTAATCATCTGCTCATCTATATATGATTTGATCCTCGGCCCTAGGTTAAGACACTCACATCTCAGAAAACCTACAAATCTACTTAAAATGATGATAACTTTGAACCTCAAGTGCCGAATGTACTCATACATGAAAATGAAGAAAGATCTTACCCAGCAACTATGACTCTTTCGCCAATAGAGGCACCTTGAGGAGGTAGTACTGGTTCGCACTGTGTGTGGTCCTCGTTAGATGCACACAAGACCTACATCCAAAAGTTGATGCACCTATCTTAGCTTGAGAATGTTGAAGTGGAACGGTGGAAGTGGAACGACCCCCGAACGAGACATGAAACATACGGTTCCGGTTCAAATACTCACAAGTCCTGCAGACATAACATCTCGAAGTTTGCTGGGCTTCACGTTTGCCAATACGAGAACTCGCCGATTCTGCACGATCAAATTCACGATTTCAAACGGGGAAGCTGAATCCCCATGAGGTATCTTGAAAAAAAATTATAAAAATTCATTCATTTGACAAGCTGTGATAACTTTGGCCCTCTGAAGATCACCTTTGAGGTAGTCCAATTACATTTCAGTTCTGAAATTATGTATTTTGAGAAGCTTTTCCAAGTTTGGCAGTACAATTTCCGCATCTCCCACAAAGAATTAAGAGCGGACACGCTCAGGTGCACACAACGCCAGACAGAACTTGGAAGTATACCAAAGCCACCTGATAACTACTTGATGATATTTCACTTCCTTGGTTTAGATTACAAGCTAGAAGCAGTGACAATATTGCAGGAAAAGAAGCGAGAGTATGAAGTAAGTTGCATATATATCTGGATGAGGCCTCTGAGTAATACCAGCATCTGTTCCTCAGTCAGATATTTGGCAAGCCCACTGACTACCTGCCTCACATTGCCCTCTCCGATATTGATATCTTCTACATACAACCTGCAAAAGGTCGGTATCCGAAAATTGCACACAAGAATCTGTGAGCACAAGATTGTCCAATTGCTGATATGGATCCAATTCCAAGATCGAACTGATTCGTAAGACCTCTAACAAATTCAGACGATGCTCTTACACATGAACTGATCACCACAGTGGCCAATATTGTCCAACCCAATTGTGATGAACAGAATATTTCGCAAATCCGTCTAATTTAATGCCAGCGAGCTGATCTATAAAGAACATGGTCCTTCACAAGAAACAAATAACTGTGTGCAGGAAAGGGAGCTCACGTATCAGCGGTAGGATGTTTCTTGACGGATTCAATAATGCCCACCCTGATGTCTAGTATTTCGAATCCAAAGCCATCTCTCTGCACAGGTGTGGATTCTTTCTTCTCCTTGGACTGATCAACTTTTTTCTCCTTCGGCTGAGTATCCTTCACCTGCCAAGATTCACATCCACATTAAAATGGTAATCATTTCACATTAAAATCAGTCATAATTTCAGTCTTCGTCAGCAACTTAGAACAAGCTACTTACGTCAGCTTTCTTCTCCACGTTTGCAGCTACTGCAGCCTCCGACTTCCCTTTGGATTCCTGCTTATTGCAAATATTTTGAATATCAGTATACAGGGATAACGTTGTGAGAGTACTTCTACCTTATGATATGAGTTTCCTGGAACAGAAATTATTGGTCCACAAACGAAGATAAAATCAAAAATCAACTCTAGGTGGTTGCTTCCAGGTCTAGCCCATGGATCGATTGCTGAAGACTAAATTCCGGATCGTCAACACTTGCATATTCGGTAACTTGTAACCAAGTCCAACAGGATGATAGGGACGCCCACAGACAATGCTGATGTTTTCAGGTTAAAATCTACTGGATGTGGTGGCTCGAATCTGGAAGCTATGAAAAATACTTAGGCAAACCCGCCAAGCCAAGCATTGGAAAATAAAACATTCGGAAGCTGCGGCAGATAACATAGTGTTGTGTCATATGCATGCATCAATCCATCAACCTGTAGAGTGTGGTGGAAGTGGAGCAATTCTAGTATGTCGAAATATGTGGCAGTAGTTTAAACACGACACATTAGGTTGTGAGAGGCAATACACAGGAACAATGGAAAAGATGAAACAGAGTGTTTGTCCATACCCTTCACCAGGTTACACTTACCAACAAACATAAGGAATGGACAGGCTCGACGACCTTCCATACATTCCATTAATGTTCAGCGTAAAATGCAAATCGTAACCGCGACATAAATTGCATCTTACTGGCACTGCAGAATAAGTACATTCAGGCTTTTCTCTGCGTACCCATGTTCTCACCATGATCCACTCAAGGCTGGAAGTTAACAAATTCGTACATCAATTTGTAGCTAAGGAAAGCTAATCCTTTTTCTTCATGTCATCTTAATTTCTTGTTCTGCACCCTTGTTACCTTGAGCTCCGCTCAGCCCTTGCGCCATTTGATCTTAAGTCTAATTCCGAACTAATTACAGCACACCCAAAGTTCACACATCAAGATTGAGTGCATTGAACTGAATAAGCAGCTTACTATCAAAACGAACGCAAAGTAAGTTTTCATACCAACCTTTTTGTTTGGCTTGTCTGCCGGTGTTCCATTTGGAGCTGGTGTGGCTGTTCCGGGTTTCTCCTTCTCTGGAGCAGCCTGAGCTGATGGTGCCGCCTTCTTCCCTTCGGGTTCAGAAGAAGGCATCTGCTACTCACAGGGTGTTAGAACTACATGAAAGCAAAAATGTAGTTCTAAATGTAGTTCTATATCAATTTTTTTCTGGATCATTGGAGTTTCTTTTATTATTTTGGAGCACGTCAAAGAGCCAATATATAAGGCCTTTCAAACCAAGTTACAAGAGCTAACAACGGCCGCTTGATAGCTCCAACTACAAACTTAAAATCGATGAAAAGTTGCGGAGAATCAACTTCTCGACCGACAGACATACCGGGGGGTTGAAAGTGGGCTTAACAACAGGTATCCATTCATAAACCTTACTCTGGTCATCCTTGTGCTGTGAACAAAAATACACAAAGCATTAGTGGATCTCGTAAGTACAAAATTACAACAAAAATTTGGAACCACATTGGAACAAGCGGAACTCTTGATGGACATATACCTGAACGTAATCGATCCAGCGAAGCAGATTCGGGTAGGTTTGCAGCTCCTCTTTAGGCATTGCCGCCTGCCAGGCTACAGTTAGATGAATGACATGAAGGCATTCTCACGAAGCTACACGGTTGAAGAGCTGAACAGCTGCCAGCAGGATTAAACGCTAACGCCAAAGGAAGAGGTAAATCCAAGAGGGCTTTCGTGCCAGCAAAGGCCTGAAGAAAGTGCACTGACGGGCCATGTAGCTTACCACTTGGTCATGAATCGATACGAAAAGAGCTACATCGGCAATACTAATCGAGGTACCGAAACCCACAAACACTGCTCTGGTCAACATGTAGGTATCAAGGGTACGCAAGTATGTCGCCTTCACTTTCTCATCTTTGTGAATTGAGTTTGCAAACGATAGCCACTCCTCGACCTGCTTGGTTTCAATAAGGCAATTAGCTTTGTTTGAGGCGTCTAAAATTAGGCACCTACCACTGTGGAAGAGCCAGAAAGAGCTACTGAATAGCGAGAATCAAGACGAGATCCCAACTCACAGAGTACAAGAATGACACAAACCTGTGCACGGACTTCATCAGACTCTCCGAGTAGCGTGTTTGAAGCAGCAGGGCCAGCCGCAGCCACGATGGATTTGCAAACGGCGCTCACATCGTCTTTACCCTCAGCAGCTTCACCAATCTGCACATCATTTAGGACAAAACTGATCAAATCCAATCTATGAAATCAAGTGTGCTAGACAGAGAAGCCCAATGTAAGAAGAACTTCCTTCGCACTTGTTCAGAGGAAGAAACGTATGACCTCTGAGAAACCAATATCACAACAACATTTCCACCACCCTTTTCTTCAAGTGTTAAACCGACGTTCCGCAATTTTAATTCAGCATTACACTTGCTTCGTCAAAATCCAGATTTGGGACTTTGAATCTTCGATCCAACACGCACGACAATGTGATGAACCAAACAAGCAGAGTCGATGACCCATGAACAAATGACCAATCTCCACATCTTTCAATTTGCAAAATTTCAAGTTTACGCTTCAGTGCTCCAACGCAATTGGCCATATAATTTCTTGAATACCGGCGAATCCACGAAACAGCGCATAACCTCACCACCTCAATAATCTTCCACGGGAAAGAAAGGTTCAGTACCTGCGGTGAATCAGGATATTTTCGGGAGACGAAAGCAGCGATGAACGAGGTGCTTTTCGCGGTCAACCCCATGGCGGAGTGCAGGCACCGTAGCAGCACCAGCACCAGCGACTCTTACGCTCTCGATCAACGAAATTAGTGATGCACGCAGGGGAAGAGCCGAGCTCTGGGACCTAGAACCCCACAAAACCTCCTCGTTCGAATCAAAACGCCTCACTGCCCGTCTCGGCCCGAATCGCCTCTATGCTCTCTCTGTTCCATTTTCCGACCATTTCTTTGACCATTTCGCCAAATTGTCAGCCCTGCGTTCGACGTGACGATGCTTGTAGCGAATATTCTACCCATCTACTACTCCAGAAAACGAGATGTTATTGTCATGCCTTCGATACCAGCTGCGTTGTGTTCGTAGATTTTATGTTTTTTGTCGTGAAATATATATCGAATTAATGAAGCAAAAAGTAATCTTTCATTGAGTTTCACTCATTCATTTACTCTACTATTCATTGTGTAGAGTTTTGGTATACCCTGATATCTTATTGTTCCTAAAACAACTCACTTTCTTATCAAAGTCGCAGTACTCTTCACTTGCATTCATATCAAGCTTAGCACATTTCACATGAGGATCATGAATATGATGATACTATCACATCATGCATCTTTAGTGAGTGACTAGAGATTTGGCACATACATCTTTAAGTATTATGTGTGGCTAGTAGGTTGACTATCCGTAAAGGAGAATAACAATAGCAATAGTAGCCAGTTTGATACTTTCAATACCTTTGTTATCCTCTGAATTTGAGATTGTACATTAGCTATCATCACTTGAGATATATGCAAGGGTTCTGGATATGGAATCATTATTATTAACGATTTTTTCATTAGCAATATTTTCTATTCTTAGAGTCCATCTTATTAATATCTCTCCACCATTAAGACAAGAAGCTTGATATCTTACCAACAATCATTCTGATCATTCTTCATTTTATTAGAGGTCCACAATTCTTTGAAAGCTTTATTATGTATTCCACAATGATGCTGTTCGATAATAATTCTAAGTTTCAAATTGCATACATATAGTTATTGAGGTATTAGTAAAATTATTTTTTCCTGTTTATATATTTACACTGTTATAGTTGTCTATATGCAAGGATATGAACCAATGTTTTAACTATACGATGCTGATGTCAAAGATATGATGTTGTAATTTATTATATTAGGGAAGAATTTATTATATTATTGTTGGTAGAAGTCGGATCATGAGATATGTAAAAAGAAGTGAATAAAATATGCTCTTTGAAATCTCATTCACCATAGAAATATTAATTATTAAAAATTGGAGTATGTTATGTTTTTTATTTGATATAATTTTTTTAACAATTTAAATATAAACAATAATAATTCACATCATACTATTGCAATATGTGAAATTCTCAATAATTCAATACGTTAAGTTTGTTGGACGTGTGATTTTACATCGATACACAAGATGCTGCTTTGCTTTGATTTGTGAAGTTCTAAGTTTTCGAAACGATTCCAGTCATTATTATACATGGGATTACAGCATGTATTAAATGATGATAGTTACCTGTAAGAAAGAAAGTTATTCAAAAAGCAATAATACATCACTGTGGCTAAATCTTCAATGTAAACAGATATTCTGAGATGTGGACAAATGTGGTCCAGAAACCTTACATCAGCCACATTACAACATTTCGAAAACACGAGTGAGCTGATCCTCTTGTTCTCATGTTACGAAACGTATCTAAGCAGACTGAGCCACATGATCTACAAGCATTCACATGCTTTTTGTTCGAGTAAATATGGTTTTGTAAAACTTGTCGCAAAACTCGGCCACGACTACAACCTGAAACACTGTGCTATTGCCCCACCACGGTCCTGCTGTTACATAGTCTTCATCTGAGCTGAAGAGCTTGATGAGTTCGAAAGTTCAGGGCTCGCACATTGTACGATCGGTGTTCACGTGTCCTATGAGACACGGAGGCGAACTACAAGTTGCGTCTTCACGGTGTTGTCATCCTCGGTCCAGGACTCTGCTCTGCTCATCTACCCTGCAATCGATTCCTCAATCATGCCAGTCCAGCGAGAATCGGAACAAGACCCATTGACTCCACAGCTTGCCCTCCTTTTCGTAGGGTGCCGGACGTGCGCTCGAATTTCAATTTGTAGATTCTTCACGCGAAACTCTTGCAGAGCGGGCGGGAGCCAATATTTGGTAGAATATTTACTGTGGGAACTTTCACGTGGGAGTTCACAGATCGTCATCGCGTTGCATCACTCAAGACAAGCTAGAAATGAGTTCGAACCCCACTGCGTAGCCGAGCTGAAATACGCAGTGACGAGCGTCATTCAATTCCTGCCGAGAGGGGAGAGCCCCGACTTGTATGATATAAACCATGACTTCGACGTGGGCGAGCTATGACGAAGCAAATACAGTCAACTTTGTTCTATTCTGTTAAGGCTTGACAAAATTTCGTGAGGTCCCTGTCTTGTGAATATTGCGCGTTCAGCACCTTGGCCGGCGTAAATCGGCCTGGGACACTCCCAAATCGCTCGGTAGACTGAAGAAGATCTAAACAAACACTTCAATGAGCTGAATCCTAAGCGTGAGGCACTAATCAAATGGAGGCCTTTCGACAAGCTCGCCACCAAATATGGTGATAAGACGTCAGAAGACTCAGGTTTGTGTTTGCGAGGAAATGATGGTATGGGATACTCGACCCGGACTCAAGCAGGTTATGACGCAGTCGAATATGGTTCTATTCCTGGGGGATTTTATCACCAGATTTACCGAAGCAGAAGTTTCCCTTTAAGGAGATCAAATAGATGGTCTAATATACGGGGCCCATCTTCTCGGATTCCAGAGTGCATGTACTCATTTGTTACCCACATCCGTATTCCTTTTATTTCCGCTGCAGAAGCTTCAGAAAGTTTGAAGCTCACATACATATCTTCATAGTACACGGCAGCGGCAACAGGTACCTGCAGCAGAGAAATGCTTACAATCAGAAAGCTTTCTCAAACATCAGACAAACCAGCACAAAATTTACTCTGTAACTGAATGACGTAAGATATTGCACAACGCTAGAGCACAAATATCTAAGGACGAGCCAGATGAGAACAGGACACAAGCGCTCAATTCAGTTTGATGTAACCATCTCAGATATTGGGGGAACCATCGGTCATCGCGTCAATATGACGTTGTGGAATTCTGGGATCCCATAATCGAGTTTGATAGGAGCATCATGCCTACTGGTGATATATCTGGAATAAATCCTAATCAACAGGAGCATCAGAGTGGAGAATATTTACATAACATGTTTGAAAACTTAGAGAGAACAGCTCAAGAAGCAGTCTCAACCCAAAAGACGTACCTTATTGTTTCTCAGAGTCGTCATATCATACAACGGGGGCCAGTCTTCCTTCTTTGCCAGAATCTCTGCAACCTCCTTAAAAGGCTGCAGGGTCTTCAGGTCATCAAACATCCAGGGAAAGATCATCTGGTGTAGTGATCATTGTTTTCAGTAGCAAAAGCGGCTTTAGTCACTATTCTTGAACTCAAACAGGAAAGAACCATATGAAATAATGTGCGACTAAATACGACTGAACGATGATTTGTATTCGATTCACCGTGAATGATTAGAAAAAATCATTCAAAACGTCATGAGGCATGAAGGTGATATGTTTATTTCAACTTTGCTCTCAAATTAAGCGGAATGGTAGGAGGTTGATATACACATGAACTAACCTCCCCTGTGAAGAGCACCTTCTGACCATTAGTCGCAGCCTTCACAGCATCGAACTGATCTCCCAACTCCTCGCGAACACGCTGCGCTGCCCAGTTTGACGCTGCTCCCTACAACCGTTCACACCGCATACGCATCCATTATTGTTAGATATAAGTTGAAACCCAAAATAAGAGCTTGAGGTTGTGAGTAACTTATCTCACACATATTTGCCACAGAGCAGGTATTGTTTACTTCTAAAAGGAAGGAAGCTTTCGCAGCATGAGATCTGAACCTTCCATCTGATTTCACAAGCTGACGTATATTGAAACTTGCAACGAGAAGCAACAGAGCAAAGGCTCTAAGCATACGCGTCACGTGCTCGCAAACGATATCTCTGACTATAAAGTGCAGATTGATAGAAAAAACATATCAAAATACCTGGCAATATATACTCTCATGTAGAAGAGCGTATAGTGGATTCGTGTCAAAGTCCAGTAGCCAAATTTCTACCTGCATATGCATTCATTGTTGAACATGAGGATAAATGATTGGCCTATGAGGGCACCCACAGCTTGTATGAGGTGCTATATGTTTGTGAGAAAACACAATATATCTACAGAAGTCTTTTATACAAAATATTGAGTACTGTGCCATTTCTTGACCTCAAGAGTGAAGGATGTGAAACTTTCGAATGAGGAAAAAGGCCTTCTTACCATGCGCAGAAAGGTATGACTAAGTCTGACACTTGCATCTGGCACCAATAATGGATCCCATGCCCTCTCCAACCTGGGCTCACAGGTCCAAGTTATCGAGCATAAGTAGTTTCGCAGTCACAAAAAGCTTTTGATACTATACATCATAGTCCTAACACTGATTGTCACTCACAGGTAGTGTAGCCGCTCGAAACCACCTGCGGAACCCAACCCAGAAAGACCTAGCAGCTGCAGGACCCGAGGCGTCAATATCCCACCAGAGGGCATTGCAACCTGTTACACAAATTGCTCTTTTGTTAGCCACATAAACCCACCGACGAGGAGAAACAACCGACAGTCAGAAACTTATTTCACTTTAGCATGATCTCTCGCCATCAAACTAGGCGTAATACACCGCACTCCTTTTGAGATGGACGACCGCATGGTCAGATAGTTATCCTGACAGAAACATGGACAATCATCATCATGATTTTAACAGCTCACCCCTCCTTCTTCAGCCAAATGACGCACGATCGAGCGGACAACCTCTTCATCTTGAGGGAAACGTGAGTAAAATTTTGCATTTTGTAGAGCTACTCGCTTGTAACACTCACGGTAAACCGTGTCAGCTGTGCAGCCATCACCAAGGGGTGGAAGGCCACCTGTGAGCAGCACATAGCGCAACCCCGCGGGAGCAAGGCTGAGATAGGTAACTGCGCAAAAGCCACCAAAACTCTGAAAAGAAAACAACACCATTCACATGAGAAAATGCCCAACACAAAAATTGCACAAGAAAAGGCCCTACTGATACCACAAATTTTATCAAGCTCCGATTGAGATATGCTCCTTCAACTGGTCTGAAGGCTGCAAGAGAAAAGACCTAATGCACCGCTTACAAAGAGAAAGAAGACCAAAAAGCTAACGTGACGAAGCATATGCTCACATGGAGACAATAATCTATCAAAAGGAAAAAAAAGAACCGATCACAACTCTTCAGGATGAGCTCGTCCAACCAACATTGTTTTTTGTGGCAGTTGTAACCTTTACAAACTAACAGATGGTCGTACCATGAGTGATCCGAATAAAAAAATGTTGTCAGCTTTTATCACAACTTAGAACAAAAATAGTTGATATGCTTACCAAGTACCATGAGGAAATCATGTACGCATTTTACACATGAATGCTAACCTCTTAAATCTCACAAAAAATATATTTCTCCGAAATCATGGCATGTCACAACCAATCAACGATGAAAAAACAAATAAGAAAGGAAACAACCTGTCCCAAAATATTCCAACGTTCTCCAGGAGGTAAGAGACGACTCCTGACATATTCTGCATCTCTTACGATATTATCTGCACGAAAGTGCTGTAAATATGAGGCCTGTTGCTTTGCAGATGTGAATTGACTCAAAGTCGTTGGCGTAAGAGGCGTAGAAAGGCCTGTTCCACGCTGCCATTACAAACCATAGCCTCACAACAAAGTTCCAGCAAAATAATAGGGTACATATCTTTAAGAAACTTTTGCCACATGAAATAAAACAGATGACCTTGCAACAACCCATGACAGATTCAAAACTCTACTTGTAAAAATGAAGAAAAGGTCATAACAAAGACTGATGAGGTTCAAGCTTAAACCACCATGCCTGATCGAGAAGAATGACACGGTACTCTTCGCAGGCTTTTTTCATCCATCCATTAGCGTCCGCAGGTCTTGCACACTCAAACCCTGGTCCTCCTTGAAGGTACAGCAAATACGGTAGATGATGTTCTTCCTTCCCAGCTGTAAAAACATAAGTTCACTCCATAGTTACGCAGAATTTGAATAAAGATATGAAGGAAACAGAGGTGGGCGAACAGTTAGGGACTACATACTTCACTATCGTGTTTTGTATCTAGGGACAATCAATATATTTGAACTTTGTTGCCAACAAGTTTACCTGCAACAACTTCGCGAACAAATATGGTGATAGAGGAACTATGTGGAGAAGAGTAATCCAACGGTACAACGAAGTAGATATCTCGTACAGCAAGCTCCGGCACATTGAACCAGGCTCCTACTGTGGTGCTGCCGGATGCCCTCACATCTACATCGCCAGAAGTGCCAGCTCTGTCCACTCCGTATTGAGAAGTTAGAAATTATAAATCGAGGAGTACGCTGAATTAATCTCAAGTCATTTATCAACAGTTAAAATAGAGGGGACGTTTACATTATTAAGATACTTTGTCCTGTTCTAGAATCAATAATTTGAAATTGAACTGTAAGGAAATTGAGGAATCACATGGAGCATCCAAATCAATGGATGAGGCTTACGGAAAACAAGAATTCTTTCTATCAAATCACTATCTACAATTATGCACTCGCTGCGAAAGTTTCCTGTCTTAAGGCAAGAAGAAGAGTATTCAACGTATGAAATAAAGTTTCCCAGAGAAGCCTCATGAGACAAGCATATTTCACGAAAGTCAACAAGATTCAGAAGTTCGAAGAATCCAATACATGAACACACTTGAATTTGTAGCACAACTGCCAACCTATCTACAGACGGCAGCTAAGAGTCGAATATAAATTTTATGTTAAAAGTGTCATAACATTCTAGAAGCAATCTATCATTGAAAGATTTGCACTGCCGAAATTTAAACCGAAAGAAGAGACCTCATAAAGTGGTAACGACAACTTTCAGTGTAAAAATTTGTAAGTATAGTGATATGCTTTCGCACAGATATTTCGCTTCATCTAACATCTCCATCCCCCATTCACGCCTCTACCGAATCATATCAACCTTGATAAGAACACTAAAGTAGACACGAAGGGAGGGATGAGGTTGAAGATGTTCGTACACATTACTTGAAATAATTCCTACAAATTGTAATCTGCTGTAAAGATTTACTCATCGCAATCTCAGTAAGAGCCGAAAATTCAGACTGTCACTATCATTCCCGGCTACTTAACCTACAACAAAAGCAGAACGATCCATTTGAAACCTCTAGAAAATTGAACAAAGAAGAATGCAAATGAAGTCGAGTTTCACATTCAAAACTGAGAATGAACTGAACGGGAAAATTAGGAATCGTACTTGTGCCGTGACACCATGGCGAAAGAATCATTGGCAGCAGAAAATGCAAAGCGCGACGCGGAGAAGGATGCGGACAAGCCTACACCAGCAGCGAGAGCCCCAATCTGGCTCATTCCAAATTGTGCGACCTTCGCCGAGCTGCAAGCAGTAGCAGAAGCTTGGTTGCATATACGCGACCCAGATCTCAACACTTCCGCTACCACCTGCCTTCTCATCATCTTTGATGACAAACTCAAAGGAATAAATATTCCCGGTTGTGTTCTGTCCAGGCGCCCCGGAAACTCACCAACTAGATACAAGAACGACTCTCACAGTCAGAACCATATTTACTCGAGCTGGGCACGCAAAAGTCGCGGCAGAAGACAAGGAGAGCATTCTGCAATTGACTGACAACATCTCCATATTCTAACAACAACAACAGTGTCTGTCTGTCACGACCCTGGGAGAGATGACGATGGCGGTACCACGAGGAAAGACAATCACTCGCAAATTCACGAGTCCATCAAGCGGAAAACGTCGCATCAATGAGGAGAGACTACAATGGCATATTTGTGCCAGAAGAGCCACTATGCGTTACCGGATATCAATCGTGATACTCAAGGCCAGCATATGCTCTTCACAAGAGGCTCATCAAAAGCTGTGCGCATTTAAGGTGATCCGATCCCGACGCACAACTCACTCCACTACTGCATAACAATGTCCCCCGCACTCATCGTTCGATCTCCTCCCCCTCGACAAACTTTCCTTATCTCGTCTCGTCCCACGAGGTCCAGCGCGACATTCTGCCGGAATATTCTGAGGACCCGTGACGACGGCTCTCAGACTGCACTCCACTGCACTGCCATTAGCGCACCCTCAAAATAGAAGTCCTTCGCTCGTGCAATCTAATTCTCCTTAGATTCGGATATGATATCAGCCTACGAAACGTGAAACACCAATGCCCTTTTATCGCCTAACCCGCTCGCAAAGGTAGGACATGTACCGCAGCGTCGCTAGGCTCCCTGCTCTGTCTGTCTATCTATCAATCTATGTATCTATGGGCCTGACCAAATGACGAAGGTGGGGAAAGTCTAACTGCTCCAGAATCGGGGAAGGAGTATGATGCGGAAAACTTTTACTGACCCGGAAGTGTAGGACCGGACAGCAGTGCAGCGTAGTGTTGTGTGTAGCGTGGGGTTCCTCTTGGGGTCATTCATTCGGGCAATCAATCGATCAATCAGCGCAGGGCCGAAAGCGTCTTGGTGCACGTACATTCTGTATTTAAAGCGCTTTATGGGTCGTAGGCTGGATGGATCATGGATGTACAGAAGGCGCCACAAAGTGCAAAAAGCCATGACATGTTCTGTACAGCGCGGAGAACTTTTCGGTCAGAGTGAAACAAATACTGCACATCTACTGGACAGATGTCCATCGATCGCACTGTGCCGTCGAAGACTTCCGCCGTCCATCCGGTCGGCCGGGTGCCGGAGGCCCGCTTTGTCCGTGTTCCCTCCTTTTGGCGCCGTCTGTTCTTGGAGTGTGAGCGAAGGAAGGATGGAAGGCAGGCAGGGAGAATTCCCTGACGGCGATTGAGGTCGATCATGAACTCCGTTGTGTATGACGATGGTGGCGAGCGATGGACGGACGAGCTGAACATTACGTAGTACGTCCCGGATTTCCGCCCGTCGCTTTGCGGACTTTGTGCGGAAGAAGAACACACGTGCCGTTCCCAGATTTTAGCCAGCGTTTCGGCTCCAATTCGCTTTTCGAATTTGAACCATGGGGTTGGGTAAAGAAGCCGCTTGTTCCAACAGCGAGGTTGCGCTTGGATCCCGGCCTACGCGTTCCCATCGGTGATTTCTCTCACATCTCATTACATAGTTGGCAGAGCTCGCGTTCCCTCATTTTTTAGGAGCCCTTAGTGACGAGGGTTGGCATTCTGAAAGAGCTCCAGATGTATAGAATGAGTCCTCCGTCATTGAATTTATAATCCCATGTAAGGATGGACCTAGGCACACAAGTGTTGTCCAAATCCGAAGTGGGATTGATCCGCATGTGATTCCGCCGCTGTGTAGTGGCACCACTGCAGCTGGAGGTAAATTGGCACGCACTTATTTTGTTTAGCTTCAAGCCAGCCATAGACTTTTGTCACCATGGTTTACGGGTACTCTTGTCGCTTGCCAAAAGAGCTTGGTCGACAGCAAATTTTTCCGTACCCATGACTGTGTTTCGCGGGTTGACCTGAAACAAAGCTGTCTTTCTTTCTCGAGATCAGATTTGGCACTTCTTCCAAACCGTATGAATGAAGTCGACTGCTTGTGGCTATCTTCATGAATGCCTTCGACTGATACATAAGAGGTACAAGTCAGGTGGCCACACTTGTTTGAGCATGCACACCTTTCCTTTATTTTAGCTCACTCGTATCCTGCAAATCAGATTGCTTGGCACCGGATTGAAGGACTATCTTTCACAATTTTCACGAAGTGACAGCCTATCTCATACTATGCGTATGACATGCATGACTCTTAAGAGCTAGATTTGAATCTGTATAGTCTTATTTGAGAAAGTAATCAGGCTAATCCAATTGAAGTGTATACAATTACAGGAAGCAAACAGATCCACTGCATGCATCGTACCTGATATATCATCATCAAGAATAAAAACCATCATGAGTGACACTGAACCTGACCTATGTGTAAGTGACATCTCTGTCACGAATGATTTTGAGTATACGTACTCGAGTGGGAAATCCTGGCGAATAAATAAGAAAGCAGTTGCAAATTGAGTGCATTTAAGGAGGTTCTTATGTAGAAACCTGGTCTCATTGAGTGTACCCTCTCTCAACAAAGTCTCGCCGCAAACAGAACATCTGATCAGGCTCAAGTATTTTAAACAAAAAAACATCTGCGGTACATGTGTAGGAATCGTTTCAGTTTCATTTACCCTCTCTGCTAGGCAACCTCTCAGAAAAACCAGATATGATATGGCAAAACAGAACCAGTTTCTTGAGTGGCACCACGTTTGTTGTCTATAACGTAGCTAAACCTCGTAAAGGTAGACATATGAAAGTCTGATGATTCCCCTTGTTTCCTGTTGAGGAGTGCTCGATTCCAGAATTGAAGGAACAGCTTCTGGTGGCAATAAGTGGCGGAATTGCGGTCCCCGAAGTAGGTATCACTTCAGATTACGTGAAAATATGCTAGCAATATCAAAACTATTAACAAATTGAAGACGATAACTGGGCACGAGTACCGAGAATAGCACTTCACCTCATCCTTTATGTGCTGCCACAGGGAAATTTTCGATTTTTGCTCCACCTTGATCGAAGAGTTGTTTTCGGGATCATCGTCCAGCAATGGAGTGGTCGCGGACTTCAAGGCCGCATCCTTCCTTGATTCCGACATCGTATTTTGAGTGCTGTGATTCCCCAGGTCTATCACTTTCAAAACACTCACAATCGGTCAATCTGACCTACCGTTCTCGTATTGTTAGCCCTTTTGAATTAAAACAAAACTCAACAGCAGAGAGAGCTACTGGTCCTGTATAGATACGAAGAAATCATCCGTTTTCTTGGTAGAACTCATCGAACCACCAAATGTCAGTACCTGGCATATGATAATCTGATCCACTATTCTCGACGGACAAGGAGACGGGTAGCTTCACACCGCATCAAGCAAATTCGATACATGAACCGAGGAGCTGGCGAGAGTATTGTCACAAGGATCAGACGGAGATGTATTGTGTACATTCAACAGACACACTTAGAAGCGTGTTCGGTCATTTCTTCCAGCTTCTTGTTTTTGCCGACGTACCTGATTGTGAGGCAGCAGGTTAAAGAGCAGAAGGAAGTATGAAGGACGTCTTGAGGCCTGTACCAAACACACGTGTTTGCAAGATATGAGAGATAGGTGTATTGGACTTGCTGACCCGAAGATTCCGTTTTTAGAGTGATAGGTGTCCTAAGCTCTGTGGAAGTGTAGTGAGTTATTTAAATTTGATTATCTCAACAAAAGACTGATGTATAGTCTTGACCAACTTCTAGGCAAAGAGGCTGAAACTGGTCTTCGTCGAACCTCTGAGAATGAATAACAATATACAATACAAGCCTTTAGAAAAATACAGCTCTTAGCTTCACCACTGTGGATGCAGAGATTGATGTGTGCATTCCCAAGCGTGTGGCGAGTCCTCATGTTTTGCGTATCGTACCCATAGAGTAAATCGCGTTTGAACCTCATCCTTTATCCCAACAGATAATTCCTGATGCTTACGCATCTTTTCAGTGAGACAAAACTTCACTCCTGTTGTTGACCTCACGAATAGTCAGGAGCATATGCAACTGCGCACTTTTTTGCACTTATGGCATAAGCTACCGTTTCCCATCATTATCTTTCCACATTGCTGGCTGTGAGCTTGAACAATGAACTGTTTGATACTTATGAAGTAATGGCCGTGAAGACTACTGTACAAATTGATGCCAGTAAGCGAACTTGAAGCGTTTAATGATGTTGTTGATATCTCGGTCCTTAAAATCAGACCTGCATCATCCACGTCTGGGCCTTCAAGCTCGGCTTCCAACGTGCTCAAATACAGCCTGCCGACGTCCTGATGAGCAAAGACAAGCATATAGTCTATGTCAATGGGCAGAACTTTACTCTCCAGAGAACCCTTGTGCATGAAAGATCCCGAAGAAAAAAATTCGGTTATGTACATTATGCCTCGTTGCATTTTAATAAATCAACGGTATCTGCATAATGGCGCTAAGTACATAGCATAAGCTAAGTTCTGGACCATCTGGACAAAAATCCGGAGGTTCAAGCGAGAGGAAGGGACACCTGAGAGGCATGTCAAAGCCTTGTGTGATGACACCCTTGTCTATCAATGATCGGTGAACGGAGGCAAAACAGCCTGAAATTTCCAAGATAATTGTTCTCATCTCAGAACTGCCTTGCATCTAGAGTTGTGCCTAGTTTGATCTCGTGTTCAAAAATGTACATCGAATGAAGTTCTTATGAGGCCATCTGGATCATGGTTAGTTCATAAGGTTGACTTCCTACAATGAATCCTCAGAGCAAGAATGGGAAACTAACTTGATGGGGGTATGTAAAGAGCCTGCAGGCCTAGAGAACAACCCCCAACCAGCCCTCCTACCCAAGTATAGATAAGCCTTAATTGGACTGGTGAACCATTTATACTCTAACTAAATGCCTGGATGGTAAATGTACAATACCACAAAGCCCTCTAGAGATCATGAGTTGCGTCCTCAAAATTCACTTTTCGCTGGTCATCTGTTCCATCGGCGTAGTCGAAAGATCAGTAAATTCTTCATCCTCCTTACTAATGACCTTCCAAAAGAGGTGCGTCGTCGTCTACATCGTTCTTGGCAAGCGCAGCAGCTATTCGTTTGGAAGCCTCCTCCCTGAAGCAGTTCACCAGATTTGAGTCAGGGGCATTGCATTAGAATATTTTCGAGACCCACTCCTAGTTGAACACAGGACGTGCTATTGTCAGTCAAGTCCTCAGAAGCCAGTTGTGTATTCGGACAAAAGTAATGTGCCTCAACGACTGCGCACAAAAATCTAGTACTACTCTACGTTGTGTTCCAGGCGAACCCCGAGGAGAGTCAGTCTAACGGAAGCAAATCTTTCATCAGATCTTCATCATCTTTTCACAAGCTGGCCGAAAGGTACGTACTTTATACAACGAGGAATCGAAGCGCGATCAATCAGGCCAACAAGTTGCCGACCCTGGTCCTGCCACCTTTTTCCCGCTCGTGCCACGACTGGAAGCTGATTGATATCGCATGACTCCATCAATTCAAGCGCACTCCTTAAACTCATGTCAGGGAAGCAGGTCACAAGGTCGGTCTCCTCCCCCTGGTTATCTCCTTTTCCGCTGCAAAACGCAGCGATCAGCGTTGTCTCTACCTGCAGTTCAGAAGGACCCAGTCAGTAAGCAGCTGTAAGCACAAAATTTTAAAATGAAGGCTGGGCATTCAGCATCCGTATTGTGAGCCTGCAAACTCTTCCTATATAAAGATTAACGAATCAGAGGTTAAAAGTTTGTCCATACCTCTAAAACTGTTCGATCACCCATCGCAGTCATTTCTGCCGCCTTCATCACTTCATTCTCAAGATCAGAACAGGTGAATATACCTTCTAGAAGGTCGTTCTCATCCACAACAAGGGCACAGGTCTGCCCACCTTTCAACATTGCTGAGATAGTCTCCTTCACTGTCTCAAATGGCAGAACTTTCACAAAACTCTTTGACATGGCTTGAGATACCTGTTTGATACACACAATCAGCACTTGTTTAAAATCTGACCCCCTACATACCTACTTCAAATCATCATCAGATTAACGTGATCCAAATTCTTCAACACTTATACTGCACAATGGCCGAAAGAGTCTAATTCACCTATCACAAAATCAACAAGTCATTTGCACAAGGCAACATTCATCAATCAACATGGTAACAGCGCATATAAGAGATGATGAACTACAGGACCAAACCTTAACGGTATCCATAAGCTCATCATTGGATATGACATCAGGGCCCAGGGCATAGTCTTCAAGAGAACAAAGTTCAACCTCCATCCCTTCACTCCCTTTCCGCCTCCATACTTGTTGCCCACTTAAACCATCTTCATCCTGTACACCATCAGATGTTGTTCCTGAAACAAGCCCTGACCTCCCACCACTACTAGCTGTTGTAGTGAGCTGTTTCTCAGCACTTTGTTTTGCTACAGCAGCGACCCATATAGCTACACCGATTCCACCCTGTTGCACAACGACACTACCCATGAGCGTGGCTTTCCATATGAAGCAATATGTAGGGTAAGGGGTCTATTCTTATATCAGTGAACTTCAACTCGACTACGCTGCCATGCAAGTATATAAGAATTCAAAACTATTGCAAAACTATTTGAACATATCTCAAACCACCGAAAGGACAAAGGCATCCGTGCTACCGCCAAGTTTGCAACCAGTGGAAAGGCATGGACTGCTGGTAGCGGTGGTAAGTTGGGTGATCGTTGTTTACAATGAAGGGAAAACAATTCAATATGGCTCCACTATTGCAACATACAGTGAGACCCAACCAGATTTCCGGTGAAGGAAGTGGCAATTCAAGTGACGTTTCATGGAGAACTTGTAAATCATTTCAGATTTGAACTTGTACGTAACTCTCATTCCAAGGGCAGAAAGATGGTGGCTTCCATACCATGAGAGGGAGCAAAATGTGGTAATCTTTTGTAAGCTCAAAGAGTAACAGCACAGATGTCAGAGGAACAGAACAGACTGCTGCAAGTAGTGCTGCCATTCCTACCTACATGACACAACCGCCAGAGACATGATTAGTGCGTTACAAATGGAAAGCAGAAGATTCAGCAAGGAGAGACGCAAATCTGTTGTATAATGACTAGCCCCAAGATTGACAACGACGAAAGTTTTAAATCTGATGAGAAACAAAGAATACATGAACCAGATATTAATACCAGTGCATAGGCTTGAGGATGTGCGACAGTGTCATGACCGGGCATCGCTGCATTGATTGCTTTTCCAGCCATGGTGCCATACACAGAACCAACAGCCGCCCCGATAAATAAACTAGGGGCATATACACCGCCCACCAGTCCAGAACCTTTGGAAAATGATGTCGCAAGTACTTTGGCGCATATGAGCTGTATCAACAGACCTTGGCCTGGAGCTGTGGCTGTTTTTCCCGAATGCAAGATTTCATCAACATTCGTGAATCCCCAATAAAGTACACCTGGATATCTGAGGGCAATCAAGCCTGTGACAAGGCCCCCAATAGCTGGGGTTACCGTTGCTGGTATTCCGATCCGATCCCTCAAAAACTCGAACATATGGGTGAAATAATCTGTCATCCGAGTAAAAATAACGCTAACTACGCCACAGAGACCACCCAGCAGCAAGTACAGTGGAAGCTCTGCACATGCAGACATGTAAACCTTAGAAAAACAAAATTTGAACCTTACTAACGATATAGAAGATGAGGTTCTTTGATTTACTCTCACCCGAGCTGAACTAGTTGAGAATGATAATATAGACAGACTAAAAATGTACACAGTAGAAGCGGCCACTTCGAAGATACACACCAGCTGCCGAGCGCAATTCATAAGTTGGTACTGTAAATGCTGCTGTCTCTCCGAACAGGACTTGTGATACTGTGGACGATATGACCGACGCCAAGATTATCATAGCCGTTGTAAGAGGAGGAGAATTTTCTGCGTGTTGAGGTCTCAAAACGGTTTCAATTGCAAAAAAACACCCTGATACGGGTGCATTGAAACCTGCAACATTTGGTCCATGAATCAATCAGCCGACAGAACTAAGTACTGCAGTTTATTCATTAAACATCCGTTACTATGAATCGTCCCCAAACATGAAATCCCAAAGAAGATAAATAAATCCAGGCAGCATGATCCAGTACTAGTGCGTAATACTAACGGCGGGGCTGTGACCGAAATAAAAGGCGTGCCAATACAGGGAGGTTCCAGTTGTACCTGCAGGTTAGGGCAAACTGCTTGCTCTTGCACAGAGAATGGACATACAACCTACGCGAATACAGCCTAAGGAAATATCGGATGCCGATGTCTGAAGTTGAGAGCAAACTCTAAAAAGGTGCCAATCCAGGAAAGACGGGATTCGAATGAAAAAAACTGTGGAACTGGAAGAACACAGGCAACCCGAAGGTACCCAGGAAGGAATGTCCAAGCTTGGCTTCTAAGATAAGGGTATAAAATCCAGAGTCAGTAGTCAACGTGTAAAACAACATTTTACACATGAATAGAGCAATGTCACTCGTCTTCAAGCAACGAAGGAAGATTCAAGTGAATAGTCTTTTTTCAAAAACTAACAAAAGACGATCGAGCGACAGATAGCTCAACCGAAACCAGTTACTCTACTAATTCATTCAAGACTGTGCAACATGCTGCAAGAAGTTTGGTCTTTCCTCGTGCATGAACGTACCTGCAGATATACCAGCCGCTGCGCCAGCTGCTACCAGTGCTATCCGTCTCTCCCTGTTGTTCTTCATCACCGTCGCAAGACCGTGTGCCCAAGCCTTCCCAATGTCCACACTTGGACCTTCAGGCCCAAGAGAACAGCCAGTACCCAAAGTGACCATAGCCTGAGTTGCCTTCAGTGCTGGCTTTGTCCCTGCTAGCCAATCTATACTCTGCCTCCTCACTGGTCTAGATGCTTTAACTTGATCAATAAGGGCAACAATTGCGTGCATCAGACCGACAACGACCCCTCCAACAACTGGAATCAGCATGATCCTGTGCCATATGTCGATCAACTTTTGAAGCCGGAGCCAGGCAGCTCCCTCATGCGGTGTCCCTGCCCATGCCAAGTCGTGAATCAGGTGTACCTGATGGTCATCAATGCAGAAAACCTCAAGTATATTAGAAGCAACCTGAGTCCAGCATTCTATCGCAGATTTCATCAAACCTAAAGTGGGACCGTGTTCCAGATTGCAACAGAGTATCTCAACGTTAGCACCACACTCTCGAACAACATACATGTAAGTATACTGAACAATGTGTAAGTCAAATAGACCTGCTCTGCTCTGGTACGCTAGCTACCAACAATGAGCGCCAAAGTCTCGGTGATAGGCGTTTCCTGGCAACGTACGAATACCATCACTATATATTGAGGCATTACATAGACCAGTGTCTTGTTGCCCATCCTGAAATCAGATCTTACCCCGTTGTTAAAGATAACGACACTGAGACCACTAGCCAGACCCAAGAAGCATCCAAGCAGCAGAAGAGCCCACTCTGGTGGAACTCGTTCTCCAACTTGCGCAGCGATAGAGGGTCTTCTCTGAAGAATGGGACGCTGTGGCGCTCGGTCTAAATCATCATCCCTTACATCAAAATCAGAATCCACGTCAGGCTCAGGTGAAATCACTCTAGAGATTCGTCTATTGGAAGCTCTTGCTCTCTCCCTTGCTACGTCGAGTTGAGCTTCTAAGTCGACATCCGTTGCGGAGCCTAAACGGGATGATCGCCTTCCACGATTCACAGGTGATCCTTTCTCCCTTTCTATCTCCCTTTGAGACTCAACCGGTACTTCATCTGGAACTTGTTGTTTCAAAAAAGACCTTCGGCTCCCAGCATCCCTTCCTCTCCCAGCGTCTCTGAGTGTTTCTTGGTCTGAATCAGAATCGGAAAGTGGATACTGAGGTATCACGGATTTAGGTTTGTAGGTGTAACCCTCTGGTTCTGCCTCCCTTTTTGATTGTTCATGCTCATCTATATGAACGACAAAAGAATCCACCAATGTACTTTCCTTACCCTTGTGTACTGGTTCCTCATTCGTGGAGGCAGCGCTTATTTCTTCTCCCTCTGGAATGTAACTCCTCCGCCTATATTCCTCAATTTCAGAGACTCTGCGCTTTAATTCTGACTCACTCTCGGCAATCATTGCCACAGAAGAAGTAGTCGACTGCTTGCCATTTTGGCCAAGGTGCTCAGCCCAGCCTTCTTCACGCTCAGCATCGGAGTCGTTGTCTGAGGTGGAATGCAGGAAGGGCCGTCTTTCAATTCGGTCGGTCGACATTGTTTCCGATTCTCGTGCACCCACATTCACCTTCCGAGTTCACTTTCCAGGTTTCTCAGCTTTTACAACCTTTCAGGCATAGACCAAATCCGGGAGAGCGAAGGTGTAAATGAATGTAAAATAGAAGATATGGAATTTCTCTGTATGTGATGTCTGCACCTAGTACCCCGCGGGCATTGGCCAAATCCTTCGCTTATAAAAATACTTTCATGGTTTGATGTACTCAACCCACCGGCCAGAAGCTAATCTTCAACCTTCCGAACGAGTCGGAAAACATTCAAATAAAATTGACTTCGTAAGATCGGCTATTTGCTCAGCCTCTCCCATCCGACAGGCTTTTCGCCACGATCGTCTGACTTGAGATTTAAACTCAAACATAAAAGTACTTCTGGAACACCATCACCAGCTTATTATGAGCTTCAATGTCTCATGCAACTCCGATCGAACTCGATCACATGAGTAAAGTTACGAGCCAGTGCACTGGTCCCAACAGTGGAATCGAAGAATGTCCCTGTCCCTCCTCCATCGACAACAGACCGCAAGTCTCTTACATCTCCCATATGTTCAATCAGACCAGGAGCACAACCAAATCCCTTGATACTAATGTAGTTGACATCCATCTAAACGGGCAACGTTCATCATGTCCCGTAGAGCAGACCTCCTTCAACCGTCAGCTCCAACTCCTTTGATTCTTTTAGTTGTGTTCGCGAGTCCTCTGCTCGATGCTCACACATATAAACACAGGGATCTCCACCCTATCGTTGTTCATTCATGGCAATTGATGGTTCCTGTGAGAAGCACTACAGTTCAATCTACAGTGGTCCCATAAGACATCTAGATAATCCCAAAAAAATTATCTCAGGCAGTCGATTCTAGAACAAAAACTCATCGGTCAGACTCGCCTCGAGGCTGCTTCATTTTCTTCGCCCCACAGGTCTACCCATAAATTGTTCACCAAATTTGGTTACTGAGAGAGCCCACGATATTGTGAAACAATTCAATTCCGCAACATTATTCCGGAAGCTGCTGAACACTGGCTGCAGAAGGGACCTACGAACGACCTTGTGCCACACGATTCTCCTCGACTGGAGCTTCTCCCAAATCGAAATCGCTGACATTCTCTGAACAGCTTCACCTGAAAAAGACAACCAATGCAGGAATATCACATCCCTGAATCCTGATCGAAATTCGAGACACTGTCGTAGCCATCCTACCACCGAATCAGCCCTCGGAAAGAGACATTGCTTTCTCCCACGCGAAAAAAAAAAAAAAAACCGGCGAGCAGATCTGGATCTTACTCCATCCTTAATTCCCACAATCAAGTTAGCTTCGAGTGTTCCGTGCAGCCTGTATTTTTGCAAATACTATGAAAACTTCGTCATGTACAAGTCTGCAATACCTTACCAAATTACTGTTCATCCTTCTTGCCACTGGACGTCAGCCTGCTCGTTCCCAGAATCTAACAGGAACGGGAGGAGCTGCATGTCCCAATTTAGGGTTTTAATGGCGGGAATTACACGATGATCCAGAGCATTCTCAAACGAAATGGTTGGGAACGCAAGACGGGGACAAACTCGCGCCCTGTCCGCGAAGCCAGTCACCAGTGCAGGGCTCCCAGATCCAGCAGCCTCGAGGACTCCCTTCACTGCGCGAGTTTGCACTCAGCGACAGAGACCGTGGCGAATTGATGAACGTCCTCGCTGATTGCGGGCCTGCACATCGCGGTCCAGCGCCCGGATCACAATGCCGAAGAAAGTCATGAAACCGGAGCTGTGCCCTACACCACCAGCACTGCAAATGTGCGATGAGACGATCAGGCCAAGGCCGCATGAAGCAAGCTCGCGAACTCACAGGCGATGTGCGCGCCCGACCTCACGCCCACAGGGTCGCCCGAGGCGAATGTCCACTACGGCACTGCACCTCGCTGCGCAACATCCCGGCAAGACACTGGCCCCGCTTCCTCGTGCGATCCATCCATGCTCAATCAGTGCCACCTCCAAGAACCCTCGGCCCAGCAATTCCACCCGGCGATGAAAAGAGCCCTTCGGCCGCACTCACTCGGCCCCGGCCCCCCACGACATGACATGCTTCGCCAGTCACGGCACGACCGGATCCGCCCTCCCCGTCGCCCTCCTGCCGCATCCCGCCCCGCCAGCTCGCATAACTGTATACCCTGCTCGCGCGGAGATCTCGCCACGTGGCGCCTGTCTGAACCTTTTTGCTCTCGCTCCCCCGCTCCGACATACGTCATCCGCCTTCCCCACCGGCTCTGACCTGCCCATAAACCTCACCGCTCCTCTCTTCGTCGACGAGCTCGGGCTTGGCTCGCTCTGCCTCTTCCTCGCCTGCGCACGAGACGTGATTTGAGTGCGCGCATGGCAGGCGATTGTTTTCTGCTCCAAACTCGTTGGAAACGGCGCCCTGCACGGCCTGCAGAGCATGGTTCCAAAGTGCTGCAAGGTTGGTCGATTCTAAGCCCTGGTGTTCATACCGGCAATGCCCAGCCTGATTGAATCGGCTGGCCTCGTATCTACCTTGCTTCCAGCCTACCCCACTTTTACCGCGTTGCGATCACTCTCAGAATCTCACATACTCTGGTCGCGTCGCTAAACCTCAACCGGTGAAGGCTGTCTCTTCACGATAGCACCGCCGCTCCCTCCCACAATAAACTCGTGGTCCGCTTCGTGACAACGAGCACGTGATTGCCTGGTCGCAGCACCTACATTGCTTTGCCGATAGTCTGCTCGCTTACGAGCTCGGTGGAAGCATGTACTATTGTAAATGTGAAAGAATTGGTACAAGCTGGGTTAACGAGATTTTACTATCCTGACATTCTATAAATTGTGTATTTGTTGCAGTGGCACTTTTCACGCTTCCTGAGAACGCTGGTTACGGTCCGTCAATAAGGAACACTAAACATTTGTGCGTTGTTAGATGTAAGGCCGATACAAGTCCGATGCTGATATTCTTCATCGCGGAAAGTTAGATTGACCTCCGTCCGAACTTTCATCACGGAGAACTTGCATCATTGGAGAAGGTTCACGGCCTTCACCGCGTGTAACTGAGTGTACCCAGGATGTCGAAGGCAATCGATGCCATGATTGTTGAAAACTCATCTCCAACCAAGACTCGCGAAAGTGATGATGGTCCGTGCATGGGGCTAAAGCGCCAGATCGATGGTTGAATACCTTAGTCAATCAACCCCTTACATGCTCTAGGATTTCTTCGTTTTCAGATTGTTTCCTAAATTGTTCTTGAACTTAGTATGCGCAACTGAGAACCCAGATGAAAGATCCACCTGTATGCAGTTCGTCAGTCCATCATGCCGTTGCTTTTCTTTACTCCCTTCGCCACTTGTATCGATGTGCAAATAGATTTCCCACCACTCCACAAAAAGCCGCATTATGCTGACTCTTCTCAACTCAACTCTACTCCTATACCAGTACTGAATCTGGTTATCTTCAAAAGAAGCACTCCGATTGACAAGAATATTTGTGTGCAAAGAACGGATGCTCGAGCATTCCTAATATTTCGTAGGAATAAACAATTATTTCCAAAAGAGATACGCAAGCCACCAGAGATGCCCGGATCAGTTCATCATAGTGAAGAACAGTAACAAAAGAAACTGCTCTTGTAGTTAAGACGCATATCAAATCTCCTGAGCGTTCTAGCCTGATAAGCCAGGTACGAAACGACTTCTCATGGCAAAATGTGGTCTTTATTAAGAAATAAGGTTAGTAGGCTCAGAACGTCCACTTCATGCAAGACGAACTCCATTCCTCCCTACACACGGCATCTCACGTTCCAGGATCAACAAACCATGAAGAAAAAGTTCAGACTTCAAGACAAGAATAGCAGAGAAACGATCCTGCTCGAAGAGAAATAAATGAAAATTCACGACATCCAAAGGGTGATCACGAACAAATAAAAGCTCTCATGTCTTTCATCTTCGATATAAGACCAAAGACAGAACCTTCCAGACGTTAGCGCATAAATACGGCAAACTTATGAAGGCTTAAACAACAGAATTCGTGAGAAATGACATGCCTTAAACTTTTCGCTCATAAGATGAAACTCTCGTCTAAATTCCGTCCAACCGGCCAAAATCAGATAATTGTAATGAAGACGGTAAACGCTGATAAACACTACAAACGAGATTTTACATACGGCGCGTCACTATCGATAACATCCAAGCGAATGTTGGAAAAAGACTTGCCATTCTAGATATTGGTGACGTTACAGGCAACAATTACTATTTAGAAAACATAAAGATAGACATTGGAGTTTTGAAACCGGTGGTTACGAAATACGCCAAAAGACATTAGGGCTGACTCTTTGGGACACCCGGACCTAAAGTAACATCCTACTCATGAACCCGTTCAACTAAACTATCCGGACTACAATGGTAACTGGTGGGTTCCAGTGCAAAGTATTCAAGCAATGCCTGCCTTCCTAGGATAATCTACGCATCTTCACGAATTCAATCGAAACGCGTACAATTAACGGCGAACAGACACAAACGTCCTTGCGTGCACATTGAGAGACCCATAGTGAGAGAGGATTGACCATTCATATACACTTATACCTAACTTGCTGCATTGCGATTTGGTGACACTGCCACGATCAAACCCTATGACGAGGCTACTGGCTTTGGATGCGTTATGTCATCATTGTGACAGTTTCGCTTGTAGTAAGTGACAGCTACTTATTCCTAGATGCTAAGAACAACGAAAAGAAAGACCATAAACACGTGATGGGCCACTAAATAGAGAGCTAACAAAATACAGACACTCGAGACGGTTATACAAGAGAGTATAAATTTGAATCACTAGTTTTGACACAGTGACTCCAATTCTCTATTTCGCTTGATACGAAACTGGTGTAAACACTTACAGATTCATACAAGAAGAGCACCTGATGCTTTTAGTTTCCTCCCGGTTTACTCCATTTGAACAAAATCGCCTCATGAGAAATTGATTAAGAACAGAGGGGCAGATGTGCTCCAGTCCACTTTCAATCTACTCGCTATGAAAATGCTTCGATCTTCCTATGTAACAACTAACGTCCCAATCCTGTGTAAAACATTGGAAGCCAGGTTGGAAGACCAGCGTTCCTCCAACCAAACCCTGAAGAACGCAGCGGGTAAAAAGCCGCAACAAATACCACTCAACGGTAGGACTTCTGGAAACGCGAGCGAGCTCCCCGTCCTCCGAATTTCTTTGGCTCACAGCGCCTGGGATCAGCCACTAGCAAGGTTCGGTCGTACCGTAGTAGGATATCCTTGATCTCCTTCTTGGACTGCTCGTCGACATACTTTTGGAAGAATGCAACCAGAGCCTTGGCAATGCTCTGACGAATAGCATAGATCTGAGAAGTGAATCCTCCACCCCTCACACGAATGCGCATGTCCACATTAGCAAACCTTTGACGTCCCAGTAACAAAATTGGCTCGAAGGCCTTGTACCGCAAAATTTCAGGCTCCACAAGTTCGATTGGGCAACCGTTAATTTTGATCAGACCACGTCCACGCTTGCAATATGTGACCGCCACGGCGGTCTTCTTGCGACCGAAACATTGAACTGACTCCATAGCTGCTGACATTTCGAGCTTCAAACCCTAACCCTCGAGCTTCAGCGCTCCAGTTCCGCGACACTCCTGCTCGAGAAAAGGTGGAGGCCAGAGCAAGCCGTAGCCTTTGTATGTGTGCCAACCCTAATAACGTACATTCGCTATTGCTCTCGATATTTTGACTCGTTTGCTACGGCTTGCGACTGAGCTGTTGATATATTGAGAATGCTCCCGCTCGCGACTTTTCTCATACAATATCTAAACCTGAGGATCTGCTGAGGTATTGATATTTAGTCGCTCCCCGAGAGAATGTTACCGCTCTACAACCGAGGATGAACAAATAATTTTGTCAACTCTTGTTGCATTCCAATCACATTTTTCATGTGTGGGTTAGACCAAATTCCGCAGGAATTTTGTTCAATCCTCTTGCCACTTATATACGTCTTTAAAACTTCCTCTCTGAAAGAAAATCATGCATGAACAAGTGAAGCGAAACATTGATACTTTACAATAAGTAGTTTGAAAAATGACAAGTTTATATCCAGAACTTGTACATCATTGTAAGAATACATATGTAGCTATCTCAAATGTTTTGTGGTAACATTTGAATGAATCTATATTTAATACTTAACACGTATTTGTCACATTAATTATTAGACCTTTTTTTTAATTATTTCATCCACAATTCATGGACAACATTATTTTTTTAAGGGTTGGACTAATTTACTAATTTCTAAATTGGAAAGAAAGACCCAATTACAAATAACGTAATGTATGCTTATCATGAAATAATGAAGTACAATAAAAGAAAGAGTATTTTTTAGTAAATAAAAAATAATAAAGAAATATACTATCAAGTCACTAACATAATCATTCTCACATGTTGACAAAACTAAGTTTTTATTGCATTACAATAAAATGTATCATCATCAACAACCCCCATATCTAAGCTAATGAGTTTAAATAACAACACGTGAATTACTTGAATTATGAATAATTTTATTAGAATTGACTTGCTTTATTGTGTGACTGCTGTGATTTTAAATTTTAGCAATCTCTTTCCAAGCATAATTATCATTTAACTTGTAAAAAAATCTATGCGAAAAAATGTTGAAAGCTTTAGATCTCATCATTCTTATAGTATTTGTATGTGAATAACTTTGACAACTAGCAAATGTAAAATCTTGTGTGTATGCAAGATTATAATTAATATATCGTTATGATACAAATTTTCACTTGTACGCTTAATTTGTCAATCTTGCTTTCAAAAACATATCATTAAGACTATATTGTTATTGACTTTGTACATGTATGATTAAGATATTGATAACTAGATGTAATATCATCCACCGAAATCAATAAATGTGATGTTACATGTGTTACTTTTTCAATTGCATTATAAAAATTCAATTCATGATATGAAAATGATCTTCAAATTGCTTTGATATTATCTTGACATGCTCTTTGAATATAAACATGATATGAATATATATCTACTAAAAATTGTATCAAAAAATATAATTGGGTCAGCATTCAATAACAACATGATCAGATATTTCAAAACATATGTTCACAAAGTATAAATCAGAGCCAGAAGTTATTTTAATTGGAATTATTTGGCATTCTTCCAATGATATTGTTTCACTATGAAAAAGCTCAAGCATTTAGTTTAGTATTTTTTGAAATGTTCAAATTTTCACTCATTAGTTTACATTTTGAATTTTCAACTTGCTGAAAAATTAGAATGGAAACCTTTTAGATCTTAACATTTATACTATACATTATCGCTTAAAATTAACAAGTTATGATATTCACATTCAAAGTGTTTTCAAGAATATTTCACAGTAATTATAACGCCATATCTGCCAATCATGAAGTATTTCATGCTGTGATATGTATTAAATCTATCACAATTTTTATATCATACCTTCAACCAATACCAAATCTTAAAAATACATGCAGATATGTTTATTTCAGCAAATCACAGTCTTAATTTTATATTTCAAATATTAATCTACATGCATGTAATTCATATTTGTGAGTCTTTATACAACATATGAGAGAACAATGCTAATAAGAAGATCAACATTATCTTGCATTTTGATTGAATTTATTCTTCATTAATATATTTTCAAATTTTGTGGTCTAAAAAAAGCTTGTTTATATAATTTTCATAAATATAAATATTCCAAAGACATGAAAAAAATTATATTTCACAATCATTATTCAAATACATACATATTAATTTTTAAAATTTCAAATATAAATTAAGTATATAATTTGATGAAAAATATTTCAAAATTAAAATTAAAAATCACACTGTAAAAAAATAATTATTGATTCAAATTCAAAAAATTTATTGCTATATTTTAATTGGAAATTATTTATCTCTTTCTTAATTTTGAACCAACTTTTAAAAACTTCCAATTAGTTGAACATGACTACACATGAATTCATTGTTAGGCAATGACTAGCATTTAAATTTGATTTTTAAAGGTGATAAAAAGGCTTTAAAATTAAATTAATTAAAAAATAATAATTTTGATATTTTTTTTAAAAAAATATTTTTAAAAAATATTATAAATTTATCAAACACCTTAAAAAAAAGAAAACACCTTGATTTAAAAAATAACAATATCAATATTTTTGAAAATTTGATGTATATATTGTAAATATTATGAACATGATTTACACAAATATTGATAATTTTTTAAAATAACAATAATATGCAATATGTGTGACGTTAAAACTTGAGATGTGAACGAACACAAAAATAACGTGGTTCATCCTCAGCAAGAGGGCTAAGTCCACCTAAAACTCTCATCAATTTACTCTAGGTCTTGTCATAACGACTCATAATACAAGAAGAACCTGAAGGTATTTATCTCCAATTCAAACGGCGTCTTAGCTATAAGTAGCTAGAACCCGAGATTACTCCTTAGTTGGAGTTAACCTCAACAATATGTAATAATCAATGCAGAAACATGCATGTGATTTGGTTATTTTTGCTATAATATTTGATATGATATAATTTATTTTCATAATAATTTAATCAAATCTAAGTAAGTTATTTCAATATTAATTAGTGTTTATGTTATATTATCATTTCTTATGAGCGTTATGTCTATAATTTTATTTATGTTTTCATTTTTAAAATCTTGTATGTTTACTTGATGCAATGGTGATATCGCATTTTAGTGTTAACATTTTGTTGTGTATGCGTTTTGGAGTGTGTTTTCATCATTATTTGATTATTTTTTGCAAAAATTATTACAATTGACATGAAAGCTATTTCTAGTTCTAGTTATTTCTGCTACGTGAAACTTCACTTCTTATCAAGGTTTGATATTTCAGATCAATTGTGTTGGAATAATTTATTTTTTCATTTACGTTATTTTAACATTGGTTGAAAAAGTAATTTTAAAAGAGTATAATGCTCAAGGCGGATGATGATTGTTTGCAAGATTGTATTGTTTAGATGATTTAATCACGATCTTTAGCGGATGACATGTGTTTGTTGTTGATTTGCAATTCATTGCTTTGGAAGTAAACATTTGTTCGACAAAATTGCTTAGACCAATCATTTGAAGCATTGAATTTTAAGCACGGATATGGTAGGATCAAGAAGCTTGTTGCATATAATATAAACTATTATGTTTAGATCTAAGAACATTTGCTGCAAAATTTCAAATTTTTCATTCCTATATTTTGACAATGAGCAGCAACAAACCATATTTGAATGATTGGCTTGTTTTTTTTTCCTTTTTGTGAAATATTAACTTGACTTTGATAATGCAAATTGATAATTTGTCTAAAAACTAACATAGATTTCCTACATTAGATTTGAATCATAAATTGATTGCCGAATCTCTAAGCTAAGAGCTTGATGACTGAGCTTGATTGTTGAAAAATAGATTGAAGAAACATAAACAGTGTTATGGCTTTGAAATAGTTAATATTATTGAAGATTTGATCATGTTGAGTTTTCAAGTAATAGTGAGAAGTTAAATAATTTGGTCAATTAATCGTCGGTAGGTTTTGGAAAGATAAAGTGATGATAACAATCAAAACTTGATTCTGTTAATGGTATTTTAGAGATGACTCAGCTTGATTGTTGAAAATAGATTGAAGAAACAAAGATAGCGTCACAACTTTGATATGATGAATATTATTGAAGATCTGATCGTGTTGAGTTTTCAGTTAATAGCAAGGATCTAAACAATTTGGTCAAAAAATTGTTACTAAATTTTTGAAAGATAAATGACAATGACAACAAAAACTTGGTTACATCAATGGTTTTTTAGATGTGATGATTGGTAAAATTTGTTGTTTATCTTTTTTTGATGTCATAAGAGTATAATATTTGCAGTAGCACATGTTTATCCTATAGATGTGGTCACAACAAATTTTTTGCCATGATATGTAGCCAAGACATACATGCAAAGTTGTAGATAATAAAATTTGGTTTTTAAAAAAAATGTCTTGAGTTGATGTTCTTATAGAAGTTAATCATACATGATTAGTTTGATTTCAAGTTTTCAATGCAAATGAAAACTTAATTACATGTTTTATGAAATATTATTATTATCTAAGATTTTTAAAAAAATCAACTAACTCACTACATTTTTCATATAAATTATAAGTAGATTTCATTATTACAAACTACACCAAAATCAACTTTAAGTATTTAAAAAAATAACAAGATAACATAAATATGAAAAACATTACATGACATAGTCAGGTATGATATTAGTACTAGCAATTTCATCTTGAAAGAACAAGTAAAAGGCAAGTTGAAGTACAAATTTGATTAAGACGTTGAAGTGTAATTATCTTTAATTACTAAAAACTAAAATAAAATATACTCAAGATGTAGTTAAAGTTATCTTATAGCACAATATTCATACTTTTCAGGTAAGTAATCCATGTGCTTGGTAGCTAGAGAATAAATGTGTTAGTTGATAGTGTAGTTTCAATAATAAGTGTGCTTGTTACATAATGAATGAGTGTGTTGATTAGTGTGCTAGTAAAGAACATCACATCAACAATTCATATGCTTGTTAGTATTATTTTGGATAATTTTATCTTAGATGACATGAAA